GCCTCTCCCGTTGCGGAGCACAGGCTCCGGACGTGCAGGCTCAGCGGCCATGGCTCATGGGCCCAGCCACTCCACGGCATGTGGGATCTTCCCAGACAGAGGCACGAACCCGTGTCCCCTGCATCGGCAGGCGGACTCTCAACCACTGCGCCACCAGGGAAGCCCTCTATATCTGGATTTTTAAAGTTTTCACCTGATATCCAGTTTCTTATTTATCAGTATATATAAAATACCTAAAACAAAGAAATTAAGTAATTTTCAGAGGATACCAGCAAGTTAGTGGCAAATATGAGCTCTGACTTTATAGGTCTTGTGGTTCTAGGCTGGCATAGCCACAGATATGCCATAACCTCTCCTGAATAATGGAAAATCAATTTTATTATGTGTTTTCATATGTGAATTTATAAGAACTTGAAAAACTTGATAATGAAGGGAGACAACAGCACTGGAATTAAGAGCTCCGAGTTTGGAGCCTGACTGCCGAGCTCACATCCTGGCTCTGCCACTTACTTAACCTCTCTGAATCTTAGTTTCCTCATTTGTAAAATACAGATAATAACAGAACCTATTTCACATGGTTGCTATAATGATTAAATGAGTTAAACTTTGTAAAGCAAACACAACAATACCTGACACACACAGTAGGCATATAACATTATTATTATTATACCTGAATTTTTTCCATTTTACACATTTTCCACCTCAATTCACCCAATCCCAGATCTATTTCTCCTAGCCAAGACAAAATATATATGGATTTTCTAATTCATATACTGTGATATTATTTGAAGTGATTAATACTAATGCTCAACTCAATTTTATCAAAAATTTGCAGTTGATTGATCTCAACTTTACAACTGCACTCTTTTTCTCTTTAAAATATATTCAGGATTAAGCAAAAAGTTCCAAGCTTTATATCATTTAGTATATGAAGCACTATAGCAACAGAGACCTCCAGCACCCTGTCACAGAAGCAGTGTTGCAGTGGTGCCCTCTTCAGGCCATCCGTGGATAATACTTACACTGGGTACTCGACTTCTGACAAAAAGAAAACTAAGGTATTAAATTCCATAATTTTTAGTAAAATGCTTGGCTACCATGTTAACGCCCTAAATTTCAATCATCAATTTAGCTTAATGGTTAAAAATTCTGATTCTGGGGTTAGAACGACCTAGGTTCAAATCCAGACCCTGTCACAGTTTAGCTGTGTGATTTGAGGTAAGTTAACTTAACCTATATAAGCCTCAATTTCCTCTTCTGAAAAATAGGATTAATAGTACTCACCTCACAGGAGTGTTTTAACAAATAGAAGTGTATGAAAATCTTAGCATAATGACTAAAACACAGTACAGACTCAGCTTATTAGCTATTATTATCTATAAAGATATTAACATAATTTCTCTTATAAAAATCATAGGTCAAAAAAGACCTTAGGGCTCTTGGTTTCTTTCTTACTTCTAATTAACATATTTATTTAATTTTGACATTTCAAACAGCATTACAGGAAAGGGATGTTTTCAAATTTAACAAAATATAAAGACTGAGAAACACTGATTTAAATATGTCAGACCAAAATTTCATTGTTTTTAGACACATGAACAAGTTTAATACAAATGAAAGATTTTTCAAATAGTTTGGAAACAATCTTAAAAAAAGAAATGGTCTAAGTAAAATCCTATAGAAATTTTTTTGTTTTGTTTTTGTAAGAATCTATTCATAAAAGATAGGATCAAATGTCAGCTTCCCCCAAAGGTGTAACTGTAACTAATTCCTAAATTTTGCTAAATCAAATGCATTTCTAGGGGCCTTCCCTGGCGGTCCAATGGTTAAGACTTCGCACTTCCAATGCAGGGGGAGCAGGTTCAATCCCTGCTTGGGGAACTAAGACCCCACATGATGTGTGGTGTGGAGTGGCCAAAAAATTACAAAAATTTTTAAAGTGCATTCCTGGAAAAGATGATTATATTTTCTAAAATGCAATAATGAGAAGAAACCCAAACTGTCTTCAACTGCCTCTTTGAGGAAAACACTTTATAAAAAATCTAAGGAGAGACAGACTTGATAACAATGTAATTAAAACCACGATATAGTATAAGGACATAATTTAACTTAATGACTATAAATATTTAAACAACTTTTTATCAAATCAATAAAAAGAATTCACTTAATAACAAGTAAGTACACTTAAGTTTCTCCAAAGGTGATGGCTTTCAAAATTGAGTACTGAATAGATGAATGGGTGGATGGATAAACAAATGAGTGAATCAGATAAACAAGATGCAGGTTTATTCCTTTGCCTGGGATTTCCTTCTCCATCATATTCATCCAATGAAATAATCTCCATCTTTCAGGGTCGGGCTTAAGTGTTAGGGCTCTTATTCATGTCTCTAATGCCCCTACTTCCAGGCAGTAATAATTAAACTTCAGTTTAAAATAGGTTTTCTTTCCTATCTTAAATATCTTTAGAGAGACTTTTTTTCCAGTGATAAAAAGGAAAACTAATAACTAATATTTACTGAGTATTACTGGGCATATGAAGTATGTGTCATCAAACTGTGTAACAGACAAGGAAGAGAAGGCATAGGAAGTTTAGTAACCTGCAGAGTTTTCAATTACCAGCCCAGAATGATGCCTCTCCATGTTTAACAGCTCAACAAGTTCTTTACTTTATATGTCTTCCATCTACATCTCCATGCTGTAATTTAAACCTCCCCAAACAAGGAACAAGCCATTATTTCCATGAACTAAACCATGTTTTTTTAATGCAGAAATTCAGCCACAAAGAGATAGGTTTTATTTGGTCTTCATAATGTGAGCTCACAACATTTTGTTAATTGAATTATGTGTATGGCAACAATCATCTGGAGGGGAGGAACACTACCCCCTTTAGAAAAGGATTTGTGTACCCTCCCCACAAACCCTAGTCTGCCATAGCCCGCTGCCTCCAGGTATTGCTTTTTGACACTGAGAGTCAAGTTTTCTTATATGCAGTCAGGTTCACCTGGTCCCTAGGGGCATGTGATATGTGACCCCTGACAAGTACTATTTTAAAGTATCCTTCAATTCTTTAACCTCCCCTTCATATTGATTATTCACCATTTCCATTAACTCTATTAACTTTATTTATTGGTGCTACTTTTCTATATTCTTGTAATTTTTTTTTCTTAAATAAGTTCTTCTTAAGTTGTGGGATCCAGAACCAAAACCAATACTCAGTTAACTAGAGTTAAGTATAATGGAAAGTATGATTCATGGTACATCCTGTACTCCGAACTTCCACATCACAGTAATATTTGGCTTTTTGTTCCCCCAGCAACTGGAAGAGGGTGAGGGGTGATATTGAGAGTCTATACGTATATGTATTATACGGGCACAAATTTTTCTCACATGTGCTATGTGTACCCTTTGAACGCCTTCCAAGAGTAAGTTCCTTTCTTTGCTGTAAAAAACTCCTCACCTTTCAGGACTTTTAGATTGTGAATTCAATTTATTTATCTATATCACGAAAGCTTCTTAACTCCTAAAACATCTCTCTGTTCTCCTGTCCAGATCTACTATAGTCAATATATGCTATGTTTAAGGTACTGTGGAAAGTCAAAGATGAAAATGACACAGTTATCACCCTTAAGTAATTTATAATCTAACAGGAGAAATAAGTGTCATCAGAAATAGATGAAAAAAGGGGCTGGGGATGAAGCGCCAGGGATATTACACAATATCCAGTCATGCAATCACAGAAAAGGTTTCATGGAGTCAGTAAACTTTGCACTGAGCCTTGAGGGATGGCTATGATGTGTTACAAGTGGTGATAGGGACAAGTCACATGCTCAGTGTATTCAGAGTGGAGTAAGAAGTCCAGTTTGGCTAAAAAGACTAAAGAGTAGCTAAAAGTGGACAAAGCTATTTGGAGCATACCACAAAGGACCCTCAATAGCAATATAGAACTTCTATGTAACTTAGTAGGGGGTTATTAAAGATTTCTAGGCAGTGCTTTGACTTAGAACGGCTTTAGGGAGACCACTCTGGCCAGTGCCAAAATGGAAGAAAAGGCTGAAGCCCCAAGAGCAGGTAATTCCAACAGTCTATGTGAATAGTAACAAGGGCCTGACTTCGATTAGGACAAGGAAAGGAGGGAATGGACAGGGAAAATAAGTCAGTAATTAGGGGCAGAAGGGAGAAGATATAAATGACTAAAGTTCCAAGCCCTGGGAATTGAGAGAACAGTGGGGCCCTTTATAAAAATAGGAAAGTCAGTCAGTACAAGATAGTGTGAAAGAGTTCAAGTTGGGGCATGCTGCTTATGAAATGTCTACAGAAAACTCCAGTGCTGTGCAGCAGGCAGTTATAGAAATTCCAGTCTATAGGTCACTGTGAAGCCAAACCAAAGATGGAGATTTACAAGTCAGCCTCAGATGAAAGATGAAGCCATAGGAGTGGATACAATCACCCAGAGAAACAGTGAATGTACAGAATTCAAGGCAAACTTTTTTTTTTTTTTTTGTGGTACGTGGGCCTCTCACTGTTGTGGCCTCTCCCATTGCGGAGCACAAGCTCCGGACGCGCAGGCTCAGTAGCCATGGCTCACGGGCCCAGCCGCTCCACAGCATGTGGGATCTTCCCGGACCGGGGCACGAACCCGTGTCCCCTGCATCGGCAGGCCGACTCTCAACCAGTGTGCCACCAGGGAAGCCCAAGGCAAACTTTTGAGGCACCTCTATATTCAAAGGAAAAGGACCTTAATCCCAATTACTGCTTCGTTGCTCTTCTAACCAGCCTGGACCCCACAGTCAGTTATCTAACATCGTTCTCAATTATTCTACTCCCTTTGCTGTGTCCATCTTTCTTACCTCCAGTCCTAAATTAGCCCCAATGCAATGTCTGAATTACAAAGCACGGCTAGAGAACATTACAAAAGCATGCTCAAGAAACTGTTAGTAAATAAAATGGACCCTCACCATGCTGTAAAAGTCTTTTACTCATCTTCTGTTGCTTTCTTATATTCCCTATAGCTGTTTTTAATCTTTTCTATTTTCTAGTTCTTAACCCCAGCATTTCTCTCTCTTAGCAAATAATCTTTTACTGAAAAGAAACAGGCTTATCCAATGTGAGTTTTCTCTCCACCTCAAAATCTTTCTCTGTCTTCACCCTTCTTCTCACCCTTTGCTTTTGCAGAAAGAAATGTCCTGCCTCCTTACCAATGCTTAACCACCACACAATGCGTGTGATCACACTGTCTCCTTTTGAGGATCTTAAACATCTATACACTGTTCTTTTGTGTCTCCCCTACATTAGCTCCTTACACTTGGTCCACAAATAAATTCTGTGCCCTTACTGTAATAACAATCATCCTACTCTTCACTCAGGCTAAATTTGCAGAAGAATCATTTACACACACACACACACACAAAGCATCATTTACACTTATGACCTCCACTTCTTTACCACGTACTAATTCCTTACAATCTATCTGCTACTCAACCACTATATTAAAACTGCTTACCAAGGGCCACAAATAACCTCCTAATCATCAAATCAAGTGTCTGCAGCACCTCAATATTTGCTACTCCCTTCTTCTTCCTTCTATAACGTCCTCCCTCATCATTTAGGATGTGGTATTCTTCTAATTTTCCTTCCACTTCTCTGATTATTTATAAAATATTCCTACCACTTGTACTTCCTCAAGGTTTTATCTCATCCTTGCTTTGCCTCTCTATTCTCACCTTGGACAAGAATCCACTGTGATGACTTTAAGTATCACTTGTCTATGAATCCTTGCCCTGATCACCAAACCCAAATTCTCAACAATCTGCTCAATTTGGGCATCTAGATGGTATCTCAAACTCAAAGTCTAAACCCAAACATTTTCAGGAATTCCCTGGTGGTCCAGTGGTTAGCACTCTGCGCTCTCACTGCCAAGGGACAGGATTCAATCCTTGGTCAGGGAACTAAGATCCCACAAACAATGTGGCAAAAAAATAAAATAAAACAAAAAATAAAAAATAAATAAAATCAAACATTTTCTTTCCACCCTCCCACTTACTGGCACATGTTCTCCTCAGTTACCCAGGCTCAAAACCCCATATTACCTTGTTCTCCCTCAACTATTTATTTTTCAGAAATTCAAACCTAGAGAAAAGTACAATGAACAAACACCCACATACTCTAAACATAAAATCACCGATTAACATTTGCCACATTTTCTTTATGTTTCTATATATTTTTCCTTTTCTTTTTCTTCTTGTTAAATAATTTCTGCAAGTTGAAGACATCATGATATTTTACCCCCAAACACTTCAGGATATATCTCTCAAGATTGAGGACAATCTCCTACATAACCACAACACCATTATCACACTCAAGAAATTTAATAATATTATACTAGTATCTGACATATAGTCCACATTCAAATATCACAAATCATCCCAATTATGTTCTTTATAAGCTGTTCTCTCTCTCTAATCCAGAATTCAGTCAGAATTCACATTTTGCATACAGCTGTCTTGCCCTGGAGTAAGTTTTCCTTTCCTGCAACTTCTAATCAAATCTCACCGAGTCTACTTTTGAAATATCGCTCAGATCTACTCTTTTTCACCATCTGGTCTTCTTTCCCTCTCACTTGGATTACTTTGATAGATACAGTTTCAACCTACACACTGCTCCCAATTAATCTTAAGATTCGACTGTATTATCTAAGACTCAAATTTGCCCCTCTGTCCAAAAACCTTCAATAACATTCCATTACTTACCAAATAAAGACTCAGCTCCTCAGTCCTCAGCCTGGCATTCAAGAGCCTCCACAATTTGGCTGCACAATATATTGCCAATTTATAGTTCTACTATTCATCCCTACGTGTACCCTTTACCTTACTCCATACTGTCTTCTACCTAGAATTCCCTTCCTCATACAATTTCTACTTACTGGATTAATAACCACTCTAAAAGGAAATGTCTCTTTTTCTGAGCTCTATTCTGACACCCTCTCCTGCTGCCACCATGTGACCTCTTCCACTCCTCCTCGTCTATCCCCCTGTAATACTTTAAATCTTCCTAAAAGCACATAGCCCACTCTGCCTTGTACTTTAACTACTTAGGTATGTATTTTATTTCTAATACTAGACTACAAGCTCTTCAAAGGCAGGGATGATCACTGTGAATCTTAAAGTACCAATATAGAGTCATGAAGATTGGAACACTTGATAAATGTTGATATATTGTATCAAGAGGTAGGACTCCCACCAAATTAAAATATATTAATAATGATTTCCAGGCTTCCAGCCTCTCCTGCTCAACCACAATCCCTGACCACTCCCAGCTTACTGTGGCCTTTTATAGTTCATAGCCTAGCATTAAGCTTGAATCATCACCTCCTATCTCATATTATACACTTTATTGCTTTTTGTCTCAAGGGTAAATTGTTAAGCTTGAAATATGAAGGGGTTCTATCTATTTGATATAATCACTTTTTTATTTTCTGTGGTGCCAACAAATGCTAATTCTATTTTCGACTCTTATTTTTTTATTACTTTTCCAACAGACATTACCAAATACATAGGAAAAAATGTAGCATTCACTAAAATAACAAACTATAATAACACAAAGAAATAATTTCCAACATCTGCTATTTACACTTACCTGTCCCCAGGCATACATATTATTATGAGTCTGTGAAGGGTTGACTTTCGAAAGCAGGAAACGCGCCTTAAAAGCAAAGAAGAAATAACATTATCCATCAAAAATAGATTTGGTCAATATAGGCTAAACAAATGTATTATACTATCTAAACTCAATTTTATTTAATATGTTTTGGTCAAATTAACTTTATTAAAATGCAACTTTAAAAAAATGAACTAAAGTTTGAAATATATAGGCCACTATATGTTACACATAAATAATAAATGTAACCTCTTCTCGCCAAATCATACATACATAATAACATTCATAGTAACAAATACAAATTGTTGAGTCCAAAACTCAGCATTATAAAGATTATGTCTGCAACAATTATGACAAGGTTACTGTGACATTTACCAAATACCTGGTCTGAAACGTCATCAGAGGTTGGAAGTCCCCAAAAATGATAAAAATAAAAGCCATGAAAACCTATACATGTTCTTTTACTTTAAACAATGACTCTCAAACTTTTTTAAACTGTAGGCTATTCCATGAGAGCACTTACCCAACATTTTACCCATCTATCCACTATGCCTTATCATCATTAAATAATAACCAGAATAAAAGAGGAAGACAGCACTACATGCGGTGAAACATCAATGAGAGAACCAGTCATAAATTATTATTACATGTTGGAAGAACAAGGACAGCCCTGTCTTTTGAAATTTAGTACCATATAAAATCTTTTTCTACTCTCAAAGTAGAAACACAAGAGCACTGGCTCAAGAGTCAGAACGTCTGGATTCAAATCCCAGTTCCTCCATTTACTATGTTTCCTTGGCCACAAGTATCCTAAGTCTCAGTTTTATTATCTGTTAAATGGAGGTAACAATAGGACTGCTATGAGAATCAAATGAGAGAAGGTATGTAAAGTGCTAACTAGCAGCTTTGCAAATTCTCAATACAGGGTAGCTTCTATTATAGTAAAACCCTAATAATAATTGCTATCATTTCTGAATAATAGTTACTGATATTTATTACGTACTATGTAATACTGTGCTAGGCACTAGGGATACATTAATAAACAAAGCAACATCTGTGCTTTTAAGGAACAAGTGAAACAAACTTATAATAATCTGTAATTAATTTATATAACTCTAATAAGAATTACAAGGGAGCAGTAAAAGTGTTTTAAGAGTGTATGTTAAGGGATCCTGAGTCTTCTGTAAGGCCCAAAAGGGCTATGTGTATATGTACATGTATCTTATTTAATCCTCATAATTCTAAAAATTACACACCTTTTTACAATGCCATAATGCTTTCCTATTATATTTCCTAGAAAATTGAAATGACAGAATGAGGAAAACAGAAGAACATTATGTTACCACAAACTTCGTATTCATAGACTTTACCAGTAAGTAAACAGATTTAAGAAAAGTACACTAAATTATTTCCCAAGTTGTTCATATCTTCTTGCTCAACTAAAGCTTGCATACCACCATAATGCCATCCTGGCTCCTTACTAGAGCTGGGCTGGAGGAAGAAGATGGGATAAACCACCAGCTTTAGACAGCTAGTCAATAATCTTACTGCCCTGCTCTCAAAGCTAAAGCAAAAAGCAAGCATACCTTCCCCTGGAAACCATCTGCCCATCTCCTTCCTTTATGTGCCTGGTGAAGCAGTCTATTCAAATTAACGTCAGAAGGCAAGTAGGATCAACTCGTAAAACCAGCAACAAACAAACACACAAACAAATTAACAGTACTTACCTGACTGCCCCCATGTTCAGTGTCAATGTATCTCGGCATTGGAAATCTGGAGTGAAGGATCTCCTGTGCATCATCCACTGGGGCTTGCAGAAGGTGGCGGAAATTTTCATATTCTGGCATGTCCTGGTATCCCAACTTACGCCACTGAGCTATGGTCTAATTTTACAACAGTTAAAAAATTATGACTTTTTTTCTTGCCTAACCAAAAACTTTAAGAGATTTTTTTTCAAATGAAGCAATCTTCAGAAAATAAGAAAATTATAGAACATTATCCTATTTATTTTTTTTGAGTTACAAATTTTTTTAAGTTACAAATCCTAATTTCAGTATTCTTGAGTAAACAGATGCAAAATTAGGATATTTCTTCTCCTTTAAAAGTAAAAAGAAATAATAATTCAGCCAGAACAATTGTAAAACGCTATACTTATCATATTAATGTTAGCTAAAAGCTATCTACCTAAGTTTATGATAAATAAGGGGGATTTTCACTACAAAAGATTTCCTAGAGACTTCAAAATTAATGACCTACTATTATGAAGTCTGTACCAATGGAGTTACATTCTCCCAAGATACATAAACATAAAAACTTTAATAATAATAGCAATAATATTATAAAAATAATATACCTGTAAAAAAGCATCTGAATCAATTCTTTTATTAAGGAAAATGACTCCAAAAACCATGTAATTAAATCATCCACAACTTTAAACCTGGCTTGATTTCTAAGTTAACTGAATCAATTAACTGAATCAATCAATGTATACTCTATATTGCTTTATATCTCCGTATTTAACAGAGGAACAGTCATCTGCATTTCTGATTTCTCATTTAAGCACATTAATGAGCTACTGAAGAAACAAAAGTACAAAAAGACAAAAGATATAAGCAAAAAACCTAGCTCTGTCATATCATAGACATTACTCTTAAAAGGTAAACAGCACTAGTAACTGGTATCAATTAAAAATAATAATCAATAGGTCTTTGAAAGTCCTGGATAATATCACTTAAAGTAATATTCTGAATAAGGTCTTCACCATTACAGTGCAAATCTAAAATCATTTACAATTAAAACACTGGAAAAATATATCTGCTGAAGTTACTAGAATACTAGACTATAAGCTTGAGTGTAGGTTTGTGAAAAAAAGAGATCTGTATCTCTCAAAGAATCTAGATTTACACATATCTTATAAAAGTGGAAATAAAGCTTATCATAGAGGAAACACTAGTCATATAGTAAAGGGGAAAAGCTTCTATGAATAAAAAGACTTTATTGAACCTACGTGCTTAGCTTTAAATGCTATGGACTCTTACCTCACCATGATAAATCAAAATCTGGAAAAATGTGTCCATGAGGAGAATACGATCTGCAAGAATGCTGCTGCTATCAAGAAGAACCGGCTGACACAAAGAAAACAACGTAAGAGGAAACAGGAAAACATAATTAAAAACATAAAACTGATCTTTCTAGGACATTTTAAATTTTTTAATTTATTACCTTATTACATAAAACCTCTTAGTATTATGAATTCTCAAAGTATATTTCAATTTAACTTTCTGAGGAATCTCTAAACTGAAGTAACAATTGAAAAATAGAGTCCAGTCAAGAGGAAAGAGTCTAACTGATAGTGGTACCACTGAGTGAGAGGGGAAAGGCTTGGGAAAGAACAAATTTGGAGATGGAAAAATAGTACTGAATATGAAATAGAAGGAAGTGGCCTGAACTTGGGTATCACATGCACAAAGATGGTAATTAAAGCTATATGGTGAGACTGCACCACTTAGAGAAAGGGAAGCTAGAGAAGAAGTCAGAGATTGAGCCCGGAGCACGCCAACACTTAGAGGTCGGAAAGGGAGAAACCAGCAGGGAGAGACTGAGAAGGAACAGGCAGTGAGGAGGAGGAAGACCAGTAGGTGTTGTAGGTGTCAGAGAAGCCTAGAGCAAAAGGTTTTCAAGGAAAATCCTCAAGGTAAATATTGTTGAGAGTTCCGGCAAGATGAAGGCTTTGGTGACCTTCATAAGAGTTGTTTCAGTATAATTTTGGGACAAGAGGAGTTCCCTGGTTGCCTGGTGGTTAGCATCCTGAACTTTCACTGCTGTGGCCTGGGTTCAATCCCTGGTCAGGAAACTGAGATATCGCAAGCTGCACGGCGTGGCCAAATAAAAAAATTAGGGACAAGACTTTGACTAATATAGGTTGAGAAGAGAATGTGATGTGGGAACATATAGACAAGTAACTTTCTGCATTTAGCTGTGACTGGGACCAGAGAAATGTGGTGGCAATTAGAGAAAATGTGAAGTCCAGGGGCTTTTTGTTTAACACGAGCGCTATTAAGGTTTCTATGTTCATGAGAATGATCCTGATGAGAGAAAGTGATGATGCAGAAGAGAAAGAGGATAACTTCAAAAGCAAAGTCTTAAGAAAGGAAGCTAATGGGATTCATGGATTAAACAGAGAGTTTGAAATTTGATAGGAGTAGGCAGTGGGATTCCAATTTTCTTCTAAACAGTTTTCTACATTTTCCGGATGTCTACAACTTACATATATTACTATGATAATAAGAAAAAAAGTTACTTCTAAAACTTTTTTCCTGATTCAAAGAACTACAAAACCAAACATAGACCAACATATTAAAAATGCATTTTCTAGAAAAGTAGAAACTATGACAAATTACTTTAAAAATTATAGTAACAAAATACAACATTTTAAGGGACTTCCCTGGTGGTGCAGTGGTTAAGAATCCACCTGCCAATGCAGGGGACACAGGCTCAAGCCCTGGTCCGGGAAGATCCCACATGCCGTGGAACAACTAAGCCCATGCGCCACAACTACTGAGCCTGTGCTCTAGAGCCCATGAGCCACAACTACTAAGTTTGTGTGCCACAACTATTGAAGCCCAGGCGCCTAGAGCCCGTGCTCGGCAACAAGAGAAGCCACCGCAATGAGAAGCCCGTGCACCACAACGAAAAGTAGCCCCCGCTCGCCACAACTAGAGAAAGCCTGGGCGCAGCAACAAAGACCCAACGCAGCCAAAAACAAATAAATAAAAAATTAATTAATTAATTTTAAAAAATACAACATTTTACCCACTATTTTTTACAAAACAGTGAATAAAGGCATCATTAGAGATCATTTATCAGTAGATATTATAAATATTCTCTTTATAATAACCTTTTCTGAAGTATTATTTTCATACTTTTAAGTAGTGTAACAGATAATTTTAACCTTAGAACGGAAAAACTCTTTATTTAATAATAGGTTAAAATAAGTGTGACAGTTTTCTAAGAAGGCAAAATGGATGATTTTATCACTTTTTTAAGTATATCTTTATAATTAACTGTATCTTTTGTTCCAAAAAGACTATAGGAGAATGAGACTATATTAAAACAAGAAGTTCTGTTTAGACAGAATGCCCTAATTGTCAGACACTAAACTCTGGAATACAGTTTCTAGAATCATCACTACCTCTAGACATTGTTAAAGACATAAGAATAATCATGAGCCCTATAGGATTTAATCAACTAAACAACTAGACAAAATGATCTTTAAAAAGTCTCTTCTACCTCATTGTTGTTTTATTTTTTAATGATTTCCTAATACAGCCTAGCATTGTATATAGCATGTAGTAAGCACTCATAAATATTTTTAAGTGAATATATGAATAACTTAAGATAACACTTGAATTAAATTCTTGTATTTAATAACTATATTTAAAGAAAAACCTAGTTGTTTTATTTTTTTAATAGCACACATCACAGTAACAAAACCAATTTCTTTTTCTGTCCCTCTTACCTCTGGTGGTCCACTAAAAGAATATGCATACAGAATAGGCTGAATCATGATTAGAGACTGGGTCAAATCTTGACGCATAAAATGGTGACGATAATATGAACTCTCGTCAGGACTATTGTTAAACACTTGCAAGAAAGGAGATCTTCTTAAATGAAACATAAACTATAAGATAAAACATGTGAGACAGCTTTTACTGATTTTAATATTACAACAGAAGTTTACTACTACAAAAGCATTTGATTACAACCATTAACACAATAAAACAACACCTTACAATAAGAACATTCTAAATTGTATTTCTCAGAAAGAATCTTACTCATGATATTTATCAGTTACTTAAAAATATAATTCAACAACAACTTAAAAATTAAAGCAAAAAAGATGACTCAAAAGGAAAACAAGAATAGGGACAAAAACCCCTCGCTCAGATCTAAGTTATTAGAGACTGATGCTAGGTGATGCATTAGCAGCAAACTTTGTTTTTATTCTTCATCTCTCTGTCCACATCTCTGAGCCTTTTTATTTCTATTCATTACCACCACCAAAAGACTCTAAGAGAACATAAAAATAGATTAACAGATAGATCCCCAAAACTGCACTGGTTTAAAAAGAAAGGACATATATATCCACTTATTTCTTAATATTTAAGGTCTCCTTTATCCTTAAGAAACATTCTCTAGACTTTGTTTCATAATTTCTTTCTCCTTTCATTTTCTCCCCTTCTACCTACTCCTCATGTGAAAGAGATCAAAAAGGGGGTGAATTAGGCCTGAAAGAAGGACAGCTACACTGTCCTTTGACACCAGGGGTCTTTGATATAATCAATAGGATCAGTTCCAAAATACTCCCATTTGTCTTTTAGTTACTTCTCTCAACTTCCTTCAGCCCTCAGGTCTCAAGTGCCTACATGCTGCCCTGCCTGGGACTCATTCCACAGCTCTCTCCCAACACATGCCACTCATTGAAATTCTTATTCCTGTTCCTTTTTTCAGTGATCCATAATTCATTGAGAGGCTCTCTCATCCCTTACCACTTCAATCATTCTTGTTTACTTACAAAAATGTATAATTGGTAAATCTGGGGGTAAATATTTTATAAATGAAGACCTCCCTTAGATTTAGTTTATGTCACCTTTTAGAAGATCATAAGGCTTTGAAAACCCAAAGAAAAAAGCACTTCTGGGTCCTCTGGCTCTCTACTTTCAATGAGAGGAAAAGATGGGATGCCCAGATCTCTTGGAAGATCCAAAAGCCCAAAGAGAAGGCTTGGAGAGGGAGAGAAGAGAAAGTAAGGAAAGTGTGGAGAATTTAGTCAAATACTTAGACTAATGCCCTCAATTCCCTTTCCTATTAGTTTCTCTATGAAGATGAGGCCTGAGAATTCCCAAAACACAAAGGGTTGCCTCCCTTAAGACAAATAGACCCTGCTTTTTCCTAGCTCCCCAAAACCTCAATCAGAGATTTAGGAAAGTCTCCCCCTATAAACATGGAGCTTCTAGGTTACAGATTACTTAAAGATTTTCAAAAAATAAGTATAGCTCTTATACTTCAACTTAATAAAGTTGAAGCTTTAAACAAATTTTTTGTGAGCAAAAATTTGAATTTCCACATCTCAATATTAATCATCCTTCCAGACTGAGCTAAAACAAAACACTACCTCTTCTATAAAGATATATCAGGGCTTCCCTGGTGGCGCAGTGATTGAGAGTCCGCCTGCCGATGCAGGGGACACGGGTTCGTGCCCCGGTCCGGGAAGATCCCACATGCTGCGGAGCAGCTGGGCCCGTGAGCCTGCGCGTCCGGAGCCTGTGCTCCGCAACGGGAGAGGCCACAACAGTGAGAGGCCCGCGTACCGCCAAAAAAAAAAAAAAAAAGATATATCAAATCATCAATTTGGAAGGATTCTTTAAAGTTTCCTTTAAATGTTATATATCTCTCATAGTATTTCTCACTTTCTTTTCTGTGTTGTTTATGTATATTTCATATCTCACCCTTCAGAATGAAAGTTCCTTGAAAGTGGGATCCATGTCAGCCATCTTTATTCTCCTACATTCCTTGCACATAGTATATACTCAGTTGAATAAATATTATCTCTATTACTCATCATATAAACAACCTAGGCTTTTAAAAATATCTATCGAAACAACAGATAGACTCCACTACCCAAGTGGAAAAGGTTCTGTAAGATAAATTAAATTAGCTTCTTTTCTATTTACCTGGGATGTCCCCATAAAGTTGTTCTCAGGCAATGAGACCATGCTATAAGACTAGCTGATTTGTAAAATTACTTCCTTTTGGTACTACTGTAATTAGTTAGATCCCTTACATCAGATGGAAAGCTAATCTGCTTCACACCTAATTCTACTCCACAGTAGGGTTCCAGTGTAAATTTCTACTCAACACAAATAAATGCTATCTGCAAGGCCATCATAAAAATACTATACTTTTCACTAGCTATTCAAGCATAATACTAATTTCTTAACTATCTCAAAACTTAAAACCTAACCAAAAGAATGACCCTATAAAATGAGTAATAAAAGACAACAGGAAAAGTGAAAGCCAATGCTCCTGTCAACACTAAGAACACGGACCTTTTATCTACTTACCTGTGGATAAAGGGAGAAAGTTTCTGAAAATCTGAAGGAACTTGGATCATCTTTGTGATACTCTCCAAATTTCTGACACTAAATAAAATAAAATATGTTAGTAATATATTCCCTGGCACAGAGCTAAAACTTTGTCTATGCATACTCTATTTTTTTGAATGTTTGTCACTTTTAATTCAGCAACTATGAACAATCATAAACAATTCTGTTTAAAAAAAGAATTTCCAAATCTGTTCTGTATGATAACACACAAAATTGCTTGGGACACAAATTAAAGAGAGCAAATATGTCCCATCAGCTGCATACTCTATTTTTAAAGTTATTACTCTTTAGGAGGCAAGATACTTGATACAGGATAAAACTGGAATATTACTTATAGACTTACCAAGAGAATGATTACAACCAAAGACATAAACTTGAATTTTGGAAACAAATAATACATTGCTCCAATGCAAAACAACTCATCTTAAAATGTTTGAATTTTTTTAACTAAGTGTCTCTGATAGCAAATAAAGAACTCTTGGATGATGGCCAGAAGAGCTCAACAGGCACCCCCTAAGACTCTACTTAAAAAAGACAATAGTCTACTGACAGAAAGATGCACTATCAAAATACCATAGTGGCTCCAAAGGCAAATTGATGGTATAAAGTTGGGTACACTAGAAAAAAGACCAAAAAGAAAGAACTGTTGAAGAAAATCAAGATCAACAGGTAAACCAGTGAAGAAGAAATGCAAAGGCAGAAAGTGGAAGGAAATCAAGGAGACACATACTCTAGCAACAGAGAAGTAAACCCTCTATGATAATGTGACAAAAGGCATCTAAATAACTGAGATAATCCACATGAGAAAGTGCTTAGCACAATGACTGACACTAAGCGCTCAATAAATGTTAGCTTCCTCTTGTTCTTGAGCAAAGTCTCTGACCTGAAAAGTTTTTATAGTACTTATGTAACTGGTCTACTTCCTGGCAACGTTTATCGGTACTTGAATATGATCAAGGGCAAAAATAATAAGCAAAAAATAACAAAAGGTTCACTGTTGCAAGTAGTACAGGACTTTTACAGCCTAAAATGTTCAACTAAATAATTTATGTAGTTATCTGTGCCTTAAAGAGCACATACGAAGGCCTAATTGGTTTGATCACATTTTTTGGCTTCCAGGAAAAATCATTTCAGAACCACAGTTATCCAAAGGATAGAAAAGCTATAGTTGTAGCACTAATCCTCAGAAAATAGATCTTGGTATGTGGGAATAAGAATGTTTCTGTCTTCAAAGCCCCCTAATAACACTTCACTGACGAAACTTATAGAGTTGGATAATAAATCTTCACTGTCCAGTATGAAAGCCACTAGCTATAATCCAATTTAAATTAATTAAATTGTATTAAAATCCAGTTCCTCAGTTGCACTAGCCATATTTCAAGTGCTCAAGAGCCACATGTGGGTAGTAGTTCCATAATGGACAGTGCCGAACACAGAACATTTCCACCACTGTAGAAAGTTCTCTTGGACAGTGCTGATCTAGGATATAAAATACACTTGAGATCTAGAATATCAAACACATTGAAAAGATTTTGTGGAAAAGCCAATATGTCACACATTATCTGATTTGATTATAAATAAGATTGGTAACTTTTTCATATGTTTATTGGTCACTTGCATTCCTTATTTTGCTAATTCCTTGCTCATCACCTTTGCTCATCTTTTGCCCAAATAATACTGATTTGTAACAGCTCTTGTATATGAAAATTTTCACATTCTGTCATACATATGACAAATGTTGGCATGAAATTCTGCTAATAGTATTTTTGCCGCGGAGTGGCCAGGCCCGTGAGCCATGGCCGCTGAGCCTGCGCGTCTGGAGCCTGTGCTCCGCAATGGGAGAGGCCACAACAGTGAGAGGCCCGCATACCGCAAAAAAAAAAAAAAAGAAAGAAAATGGTAATGACAAAAGTGGTCCTCCTGAAAAACAGCACAACTGAAGTGCCTGGTCCCACTGGTATGGCAAGAAGAAAACCTAGCTGTGATAAAATTTGCAAGGAAAGCCCCAAGAGCCTTAAACAAGAGAGATTTCCTGGGAATGAAATGTCCTGAGAAATGATTTCCTGAGAGATGAACTGTTTATCCATCGTAGCTAGCAGCACAGCTGAAAGGAGTAGTTAGTGGGTAAACCAAAGGTCAAAGATGAAAAAAATCAAATAGTAATTTTAAGTTATAAGAAGATGTCATTCAGTAGAAAAGGTCAGGAGCCAAAAAGGTAAGGAAGGAACAGATCCATGAAGCCAGACACAAGATGGACCCAAACAAGAGTCTGATAATGGAAGCAGCATATCATGTGTTATACCGATATCTTAAGTGATTCTGATCGAGGAGAATGAAAGCTTATATTAAAGCTGTCAGAAGCAAATGTGGTACCAGCACCAATCTGGCCATATGATGCTCATTAGCTACAAAATAGTTTTTAAAAAGATGTTTATTTCTGGTTTTTTTCTTCTATTTTATCTATTTTAATTGAGGTATAGTGGCTTTACAATGTTGTGTTAGTTTCTGCTGTACAACAAAGTGAATCAGCTATATGTATACATATATCCCCTTCCTCTTAGATCTCCCTCCCACGCTGCCGCCATCCCACTCGTCTAGGTCACCACAGAGCACCGAGCTGAGCTCCCTGCGCTATACAGCAGGTTCCCACTCGCTTATTTTTAATTAAAATGACTCTTAGTCATCAAGAAAAAAAGAAAACAGTTATATTCACTATACCAAATTGAGGTAAGAAGTTTGTTAGCATAATTTCACAGGTTTTTCATTAGGAAAAAAATTAGAAAAGTGTAGTACCTAAGAGGTATTAATCCTTTCTCTGTTCGTGTTGCTATCATTGTTACAGCTGAAAATTCAGCAATAGGGAATCAGTACAAAAAATGAGGCTAGGGACTTCCCTAGTGGCACAGTGGTTAGGAATCCGCCTGCCAATGCAGGGGACATGGGTTTGATCTCTGGTCCGGGAAGTTCCCACATGCCGCGGAGCAACTAAGCCTTTGCACCACAACTACTGAGCCTGCGCTCTAGAGCCCGAGAGGCCACAACTACTGAGCCCACGAGCTCCAACTACTGAAGCCCACGCACTCTAGAGCCCATGCTACGCAATGAGAGAAGCCACCACAATGAGAAGCTCGCGCCCCACAACGAAGAGTAGCCCCCGCTCTCCGCAACTAGAGAAAGCCCACGCACAGCAACGAAGACCCGACACAGCCAAAAATAAAATTTTAAAAAACTAAAAAATGAGGCTACACTATGTTAGCTACTTAGAATAGCTTCTATAACTAAGGTTCATCTGTCATCACCTGAAACTTCACTTCAATTGTACACTAATTTGATTCAATCAATTAAAGAAAAGAATGTAAAAACCATATTCCCACCACTTTTACCATATATTAGTCACTAGGGTTTCTATAAGAAACTGTGATCTTTTTAAAAATTATTTTTTGAACTTTGCACACCATATGATGCCAGCCACAGTGATGCAGTTTCCAAGTTATCCTGTTAGCAGTTTCATTGCAGATCTTTTAGTCTCACGTGGCAGTAGCACTATATTCATTTGGATAACTCCATTCTCAGTTTTTGACACAAGACAATGGGGGGTCATGGATAATTGATGAAAGCTGTTTTGCAAAGAAAGCACGGCAATAGTCTGATGATATCAGCCTTTCCCTCGGAAACTACCTCCACCAATCCCCTCTTACACACAGTTGCCAGCTGACTCATGGAACAGACAAGCTATACTGCTGTGACAGACGAGCAGAGTATAATTTTCATTATGTCATGACTCGCCTGTCCTCTACCCTCAACTTGCTGCTGTTGTAAATGGTGCAAACTGCAGGATATGTAGCTTAGAATTGAATTATATTGTGAGATTTTTTTATCATTTTGTACTTTTTGCAACTGTCTCATTCAGTTATTTACAAGACCAAGTCTATGTTATATTTTATTAGCATTTGTGTTTTACAGGCATTCAAACAATATGGCAATTTTTGAAGCTGAGGTGTGAGAAGAGAAAGATTCTAGACAGAAGCCTACAGAGAATTCCGAAGAATTACAATCTTCTGAGTCATTTCACTAAACCCATACAACAGAACACAGAAAAAGTCCATCTTCACACTGAAAGCTACTTACCAGTGGGTTTTATGTGGGGCTGATAAGCCAAGTTGTACTATCCAATTTTGTGTCATGTCATAACCTACAAATGTAGTAATAGCTCCAGCAAAATGGAAAAAGTACTTTACTACAAATCATAACCATTTGACAAATAAAGGTGCTGATTACTTCAAACAGCTTTTAGACTCTCAAAACAATAAAGCGTTTGTTAAAACAAAGTCACAATCAGTGAAAAGGCTCAGGAAGCAAGATAGTTCAGAGCAAACTTTATTATCTAGAAAAGGAGAAGTCATATAGTTGATGAGTGCTAACAATGACATGTAAAATTACAGTAAGTAAAATGCTAGGACAAGATGAAGTCTGAGAAATTGAAAAGGTTCCATCTTAAAACAATATAACAAGTGGATGCATTCATGACATGTTACATGATGCTGAAGAGTTTTGTGTAAATTAGCTGAAAAATAACACCTTCTCTATTCAGGATGATGAGTCAACGGATTTCACCAATGTCATGTCAAGTTGCTAAATAATAGTGAAATTCAAGAGAACTTTTCTGCTGCCCTAAACAAGCAAAGGTCAAAATATATTTAATGTTTTGATCTTCTTATATGGAAACAAAAGTCCACCTTGGAGGACATCTGTACTGACGGTGTCCAATCAGTGATTGACTCCAAGAGAGATTTTATGCCTATTGTTAAAAAAAGACAGGCTGATGTCGTCATAAGACTGCTTTATTCACAAAGAGGTGCTAGTGTAAAAACACCCTCAGAAATGAAAGAATAAAAGCTCTGGATGATGCTACAAAAAATGGCTAACTTTATTAAACAAAGACTAGTTCCCTCGATAATGTTTTAAAAACTGTGTGAAAATCTAGACAAAGGGCACAAAAACCTCCTGCTACAAACAGAAATTTGATAGCTTAACAGAGAGAGTTCTCAACAGGCTGTTTGAGCTGAAGGGTGAACTGAAGAGGTACTTTCAAGGAAATTATAGGCCAGAATTTGCTGAGTGAAAATGAAGCATTAAGAACAGAACTTGGGACTTCCCTGGTGGCACAGTGCATAAGACTCTGAGCTCCCAATGCAGGGGGCCTGGGTTCAATCCCTGGTCAGGGAATGAGATTCCACATGCATACCACAACTAAGAGTTCACATGCCACAACTAAGAAGCCCACGTGCTGCAACTAAGACCTGGTGCAACCAAATAAATAAATAAATAAATATTAAAAAAAAAAAAAAAAAAGAACAGAACTAAGCATTCTAGGTCATAATGAAAGTAATGGGCTCCTGACATGTTAAAAGCTCAAGTAAATCATCATAATAACTTTACTAACATACACTTTGGTAATCTAGATCCAGATAAAAAAGACTTGCCTATATTTTTATATGTTAATGTGTATAATTTTTATACCCTAATTAATTTCTCTTAAAATTTCCATTAAAATGAAAATAGAAAATTTAAACCACAGCAATGAAGGAAAATATGCAAAAAAGGAGTAAAAACAGATATAGTAATTTAGGATTAAATTGGGAATTAATTTCATATCAGCCCCCCAAAATAATAACAATAATGGGTTACATAATTGTCACTCTTTTATTTTAAGGAAAAAAGGCATTTTCGTTTACTGGAAGAGATAAATTAACTCTGCTATTCATTACTATGCCTTTCTCAGCAACTTTATTAGGAGTCCCTCATACAGACTTTCAGTTACGCTGTCAAGTACCATGAAAGAAAATAATTGACTACAAATAAATGCGTATGGATTTAGAAAAGTATGATGTTTACTTCTTACCAGTCGAATGAGCTGTCTGTCTAGCCATCTAAGCACATCTGGACCTTCTTCTGTTTCTGCTCTATATATTGCCAGCCGAGCCATAAGAATGGCAGCTGCCTCCTGGTCAAAAGATGCAGCAATGTTTTGGATTTGAGTTTGAGCATCTGCCCAGCTAAAGACAAGAAGAAGAAAGCAAGAAGTGCTGCTAAATTATTATATTCATGATATCATAGTTGGCTGTCACACAGATTTAAATTTAAAACATACAGAAAATTACTTCAATATTTCAAAATTCCAATATTACCTAGAAAAATTAGCTTTAAAAAAAATCACTAGTAGTAGTTTCAGTATAGTACTCACTGTTTTTCAGAAAAATATATCCAAACCTAATAAAATTCTCTAAAATAACTGTAAAGGTCGATTTCCAAACATATTCCTTAAAACATTAAGATTTTTACATGTAACAATGTGTGTGCATATGCACATAGATATACAAGTTGGTATATCAGACTTTAAAAATTCACTTCTTCAATTTTATAAAAGCAAATATATGGAAATAGAAAAATAAAGTTTTCTCCCAGACTAAGTAATTGTCATTTACTAAACTGGAAAATGAATAAACTATCAGAATATTTTCTCATTGGTTTGTAATTCAATTATTAGTGATAAAAATTAGATAATTAATATTATTATTTTTACATCTTCATTGGAGTATAATTGCTTTACAATGGTGTGTTAGTTTCTGCTTTATAACAAAGTGAATCAGTTATACATATACATATGTTCCCATCTCTCTTCCCTCTTGCGTCTCCCTCCCTCCCACCCTCCAGGCGGTCACAAAGCACTGAGCTGATCTCCCTGTGCTATGCGGCTGCTTCCCACTAGCCATCTATTTTACATTTGGTAGTGTATATATGTCCATGCCACTCTCTCACTTTGTCACAGCTTACCCTTCCCCCTCCCCATATCCTCAAGTCGTTTCTCTAGTAGGTCTGTGTCTTTATTCCTGTCTTACCCCTAGGTTCTTCATGACATTTTTTTTTCTTAGATTCCATATACATGTGTTAGCATATGGAATTTGTCTTTCTCTTTCTGACTTACTTCACTCTGTATGACAGACTCTAGGTCCATCCACCTCACTACAAATAACTCCATTTCGTTTCTTTTTATGGCTGAGTAATATTCCATTGTATATATGTGCCACATCTTCTTCATCCATTCATCTGATGATGGACAATTAGGTTGTTTCCATCTCCTGGCTATTGTAAATAGAGCTGCAATGAACATTTTGGTACATGACTCTTTTTGCATTATGGTTTTCTCAGGGTATATGCCCAGTAGTGGGATTGCTGGGTCATATGGTAATTCTATTTGTAGTTTTTTAAGGAACCTCCATACTGTTCTCCATAGTGGCTGTAACAATTCACATTCCCAACAGCAGTGCAAGTGTTCCCTTTTCTCCACACCCTCTCCAGCATTTATTGTTTCTAGATTTTTTGATGATGGCCATTCTGACTGGTGTGAGATGATATCTCATTGTAGTTTTGATTTGCATTTCTCTAATGATTAATGATGTTGAGCATTCTTTCATGTGTTTGTTGGCATTCTGTATATCTTCTTTGGAGAAATGTCTATTTAGGTCTTCTGCCCATTTTTGGATTGGGTTGTTTGTGTTTTTGTTACTGAGCTGCATGAGCTGCTTGTAAATTTTGGAGATTAATCCTTTGTCAGTTGCTTCATTTGCAAATATTTTCTCCCATTCTGAGGGTTGTCTTTTGGTCTTGTTTATGGTTTCCTTTGCTGTGCAAAAGCTTTGAAGTTTCATTAGGTCCCATTTGTTTATTTTTGTTTTTATTTCCATTTCTCTAGGAGGTGGGTCAGAAAGGATCTTGCTGTGATTTATGTCATAGAGTGTTCTGCCTATGTTTTCCTCTAAGAGTTTGATAGTTTCTGGCCTTACATTTAGGTCTTTAATCCATTTTGAGCTTATTTTTCTGTATGGTGTTAGGGAGTGTTCTAATCTCATACTTTTACATGTACCTGTGCAGTTTTCCCAGCACCACTTATTGAAGAGGCTGTCCTTTCTCCACTGTACATTCCTGCCTCCTTTATCAAAGATAAGGTGACCATAGGTGCGTGGGTTTATCTCTGGGCTTTCTATCCTGTTCCATTGATCTATCTTTCTGGTTTTGTGCCATTACCACACTGTCTCGATTACTGTATCTTTGTAGTATAGTCTGAAGTCAGGGAGCCTGATTCCTCCAGCTCCGTTTTTCGTTCTCAAGATTGCTTTGGCTATTCAGGATCTTTTGCGTTTCCAGAAAAATTGTGAAATTTTTTGTTCTAGTTCTGTGAAAAATGCCAGTGGTAGTTTGATAGGGATTGCATTGAATCTGTAGATTGCTTTGGGTAGTAGAGTCATTTTCACAATGTTGTTTCTTCCAATCCAAGAACATGGTATATCTCTCTATCTATTTGTATCATCTTTAATTTCTTTCATCAGTGTCTTATAATTTTCTGCATACAGGTCTTTTGTCTCCTTAGGTAGGTTTATTCCTAGATATTTTATTCTTTTTGTTGCAATGGAATGTTTTCTTGATTTCACTTTCAGATTTTTCATCATTAGTGTATAGAAATGCCAGAGATTTCTGTGCATTAATTTTGTATCCTGCTACTTTATCAAATCCATTGATTAGCTCTAGTAGTTTTCTGGTAGAATGCTTAGGATTCTCTATCTATAGTATCATGTCATCTGCAAACAGAGACAGCTTTACTTCTTCTTTTCTAATTTGGATTCCTTTTATTTCCTTTTCTTTGATTGCTGTGGCTAAAACTTCCAAAACTATGTTGAATAACAGTGGTGAGAGTGGGCAACCTTGTCTTGTTCCTGATCTTAGTGGAAATGCTTTCAGTTTTTCACCATTGAGGATGATGTTGGCTGTGGGTTTGTCATATATGGCCTTTATTATGTTGAGGAAAGTTCCCTCTATGCCTACTTTATGCAGGGTTTTTTATCATAAATGGGTGTTGAATTTTGTCAAAAACTTTCTCTCCATCTATTGAGATGACCATATGGTTTTTCTCCTTCAATTTATTAATATGGTGTATCACGTTGATTGATTTGCATATATTGAAGAATCCTTGCATTCCTGGCATAAACCTCACTTGATCATGGTGTATGATCCTTTTAATGTGCTGTTGGATTCTGTTTGCTAGTATTTTGTTCAGGATTTTTGCATCTATGTTCATCAGTGATATTGGCCTGTAGTTTTCTTTCTTTGTGACATCCTTGTCTGGTTTTGGTATCAGGGTGATGGTGGCCTCGTAGAATGAGTTTGGGAGTGTTCCTCCCTCTGCTATATTTTGGAAGAGTTTGAGAAGGATAGGTGATAGCTCTTCTCTAAATGTTTGACAGAATTCCCCTGTGAAGCCATCTGGTCCTGGGCTTTTGTTTGTTGGAAGAGTTTAAATCACAGTTTCAATTTCAGTGCTTGTGATTGGTCTGTTCATATTTTCTATTTCTTCCTGATTCAGTCTTGGCAGGTTGTGCATTTCTAAGAATTTGTCCATTTCTTCCAGATTGTCCATACTATTGGCATAGAGTTGCCTGTAGTAATCTCTCATGATCTTTTGTATTTCTGCAGTGTCAGTTGTTACTCTTCCTTTTTCATTTCTAATTCTATTGATTTGAGTCTTCTCCCTTTTTTTCTTGATGAGTCTGGCTAATGGTTTATCTATTTTGTTTATCTTCTCAAAGAACCAGGTTTTAATTTTATTGATCTTTGTTATCGTTTCCTTCATTTCTTTTTCATTTATTTCTGATCTGATTTTTATGATTTCTTTCCTTCTGCTAGCTTTGGGGGTTTTTTGTTCTTCTTTCTCTAATTGCTTTAGGTGCAAGGTTACGTTGTTTATTCGAGATGTTTCCTATTTCTTAAGGTAGGATTGTATTGCTATAAAGTTCCCTCTTAGAACTGCTTTTGCTGCATCCCATAGGTTTTGGGTCGTCGTGTCTCCATTGTTATTTGTTTCTAGGTATTTTTTTATTTCCTCTTTGATTTCTTCAGTGAGCACTTCGTTATTAAGTAGTGTATTGTTTAGCCTCCATGTGTTTGTATTTTTTACAGATCTTTTCCTGTAATTAATATCTAGTCTCATAGCATTGTGGTCGGAAAAGATACTTGATACAATCTCAATTTTCTTAAATTTACCAAGGCTTGATTTGTGACCCAAGATATGATCTATCCTGGAGAATGTTCCATGAGCACTTGAGAAAAATATGTATTCTGTTGTTTTTGGATGGAATGTCCTATAAATATCAATTAAGTCCATCTGGTTTAATGTATCATTTAAAGCTTGTGTTTCCTTATTTATTTTCATTTTGGATGATCTGTCCATTGGTGAAAGTGGGGTGTTAAAGTCCCCTACTATGACTGTGTTACTGTCGATTTCCCCTTTTATGGCTGTTAGTATTTGCCTTATGTATTGAGGTGCTCCTATGTTGGGTGCATAAATATTTACAATTGTTATATCTTCTTCTTGGATCAATCCCTTGATCATTATGTAGGGTCCTTCTTTGTCTCTTATAATAGTCTTTATTTTAAAGTCTATTTTGTCTGATATGGGAATTGCTACTCCAGCTTTCTTTTGGTTTACATTTGCATGGAATATCTTTTTCCATCCCTTCACTTTCAGTTTGTATGTGTCTCTAGGTCTGAAGTGGGTCTCTTGTAGACAGCATATATGTGGGTCTTGCTTTTGTATCCATTCAACCAATCTGTGTCTTTTGGTGGGAGCATTTAGTCCATTTACATTTAGGGTAATTATTGATATGTATGTTTCCATTCCCATTTCCTTAATTGTTTTGGGTTTGTTATTGTAGGTCTTTTCCTTCTCTTGTGTTTCTTGCCGAAAGAAGTTCCTTTAGCATTTGTTGTACAGCTGGTTTGGTGGTCCTGAATTCTCTCAACTTTTGCTTGTCTGTAAAGGTTTTAATTTCTCCATCAAATCTGAATGAGATCCTTGCTGGGTAGAGTAATCTTGGTTGCAGGTTTTTCACCTTCATCAGTTTAAATATGTCCTGCGAGTCCCTTCTGGCTTGCAGAGTTTCTGCTGAAAGATCAGCTGTTAACCTTATGGGTATTCCCTTGTGTGTTATTTGTTGTTTTTCCCTTGCTGCTTTTAATATGTTTTCTTTGTATTTAATTTTTGACAGTTTGATTAATATGTGTCTTGGCGTATTTCTCCTTGGATTTATCCTGTATGGGACTCTCTGTGCTTCCTGGACTTGATTAACTATTTCCTTTCCCATATTAGGGAAGTTTTCAACTATAATCTCTTCAAATATTTTCTCAATCACTTTCTTTTTCTCTTCTTCTTCTGGAACCCCTATAATTTGAATGTTGGTGCGTTTAATGTTGTCCCAGAGGTCTCTGAGACTGTCCTCAGTTCTTTTCATTCTTTTTTCTTTATTCTGCTCTGCAGTAGTTATTTCCACTATTTTATCTTCCAGGTCACTTATCTGTTCTTCTGCCTCAGTTATTCTGCTATTGATCCCATCTAGAGTATTTTTCATTTCATTTATTGTATTGTTCATCATTGCTTGTTTCATCTTTAGTTCTTCTAGGTCCTTGTTAAACGTTTCTTGCATTTTCTCTATTCTATTTCCAAGATTTTGGATCATCTTTACTATCATTATTCTGAATTCTTTTTCAGGTAGACTGCCTATTTCCTCTTCATTTGTTAGGTCTGGTGGGTTTTTATCTTGCTCCTTCATCTACTGTGTGTTTTTCTGTCTTCTCATTTTGCTTATCTTACTGTGTTTGGGGTCTCCTTTTTGCAGGCTGCAGGTTCGTAGTTCTCATTGTTTTTGGTGTCTGTACCCAGTGGCTAAAGTTGTTTCAGCGGGTTGTGTAGGCTTCCTGGTGGAGGGGACTAGAGCGTGTGTTCTGGTGGATGAGGCTGGATCTTGTCTTTCTGGTGGGCAGGTCCACGTCTGGTGGTGTGTTTTGGGGTGTCTGTGACTTATTGTGATTTTAGGCCGCCTCTCTGCTAATGGGTGGGGTTGTGTTCCTGTCTTGCTAGCTGTTTGGCATAGGGTGTCCACCACCGTAGCTTGCTGGTCATTGAGTGAAGCTGGGTGTTGGTGTTGAGATGGAGATCTCTGGGAGATTTTTGCCGTTTGATATTACGTGGAGCTGGGAGGTCTCTTATGGACCAGTGTTCTGAAGTTGGCTCTCCCACCTCAGAGGCACAGCACTGACTCCCAGCTGCAGCACCAAGAGCCTTTCATCTTTTGGGAGGTCTGAGGTCTTCTGCCAGCAGTATGTGTTCTGTAGGAGTTGTTCCCCATGTAGATGTATTTCTGATGCATCTGTGGGGAGGAAGGTGATCTCCGTGTCTTACTCTTCGGCCCATAATTAAAATTATGTATTCTTTTCTCTCCATATTAACACACTAAAACCAATCAAAAATTAATAAAAATTTTAGTCTAAGGGATAAATTTGAAATTACGTACGAAATAACAGTAATTTATTAAATTTACATGTTCTATAAATCTAATCCAAACTGAACCTGGGTAGACCCAGCAATAACTTTTGTTTGTTTGTTTAACATTTCACAGAGTTTTGTAATACTTCAGCTGATCTTAGTTCTGAAGTACCTCACTTTAAGCAATTCTGGCAATAGTTACAGACTTTGTGAAAAGCTGAACCCCTTTTACATGACTCAAAGATGTAAGACGTGATCCCAAGAAAATCCCGGCAGCAACGTTCAAAATTCTTCTCCTTTCTTCCTCTATTTTTAATTTTTTTCAAATAGACGAAAAATTTTAAAATATTTTCCAGATGACTGATACCCACGAATTATCTCAGTCTAATGAAATACCAAGAGGCAGAAAAGAATGAGAATAAATAAAGGAATTAAAGCTGGTAATTATTTTTTAAAAAGATACACCATGCAAAGCACAATATATATATATATTTTTTTGGCTGCACTGGGTCTGCATTGCGGCACGCAGGCTTCTCTAGTTGTGGCACACGGGCTCCAGAACACATAGGCTCTGTAGTTTGCACATGCGGGCTCTCTAGTTGAGGCATGCGAGCTCAGTAGTTGCAGTGCATGAGCTTAGTTGCCCCACAGCATGTGGGATCTTGGTTCCCCGACCGGGGTTGAACTCGCATCCCCTGCATTGTAAGGTGGATTCTTAACCACTGGACCACCATGGAAGTCCCAAAAGCTGGTAATTTCAAAAGTTATTTTTAGTGCAATTTGAACACTTAGTGATTATACTAATAGTTTAGTTATCTTTTTATTTTTTAAAAATTTTTTTGGCTGCATCGGGTCTTAGGTGTGGCACATGGGATCTTCGTTGAGGCATGCAGCATCTTCCATTGCCGCACACAGGCTGTTCATTGTGGTGCACGGGCTTCTTTCTAGTTGTGCCGTGCGGGTTTTCTCTCTCTAGTTGTGGCGCGCAGGCTTCAGAGCGCGTGGGCTCTGTAGTTTGCAGCACACGGGCTCTCTAATTGAGGCGCACGAGCTCAGTAGTTGTGGCACGTGGGCTTAGTTGCCCAGAGGCATGTGGGACCTTAGTTCCCTAACCAGGGATTGAACCTGCATCCCCTGCATTGGAAGGCAGATTCTTTATCACTGGACCACCAGGGAAGTCCCTATTTTTTAATTTAAAAATATCATAGAGCTAAAAATAAAGCTGGGTTTTGTTTGTTTGTTTTGGTCACGCCGCACGTCTTTTGGGATCTTATTTCCCCAACCAGGGATTGAACCTGGGCCCATGGCAGTGAAAGTGCCGAGGCCTAACCACTGGACCACCAGGGAATTCCCAAAACCAAAATTGTTTTAAATTGGTATTTTCCCAACTTGTATGACCATGGTATTCACTTGCTTCAAACTGAAACATAAAGGTGACATTTTTCTTCTGAAAATATCAATACAATGGTTCAGTAGTAAAAATAAATTAGCAAATAAGCACATAAAAATTTACTACTTAAAAGTTCTTTAGCCATAAATTTAAAATTTTGCTCTTAAAGTTTAAAGGGTTTGTTCACATTGTAAAATCTGTCTTTTGTATTTTCAGTACCTCTTCACTGTGATTCTTACAACTAGTTTCAAACCAAACTTTCCAGATCAAAATTATTTTCTCTATAAATATAGGATAACTTTTTTTATTTTTATTTATTTATTTATTTATTTATTTATTTTTTGCAGTATGCGGGCCTCTCACTGTTGTGGCCTCTCCCGTTGCAGAGCACAGGCTCCGGACGCACAGGCTCAGCGGCCATGGCTCACAGGCCCAGCCGCTCCACGGCATGTGGGATCTTCCCAGACCGGGGCACGAACCCGTGTCCCCTGTGTCGGCAGGCGGACTCTCAACCACTGCGCCACCAGGGAAGCCCTAGGATAACTTTTGACTGTATCTCAGGAACTTGAGTCCTTTATTTTCATATGGCTTATTCACTTAACAAATGCACTTGCTTAGGCCCCTAAAGTCATATTTCTAATTAATAAAGAAAAAAAATAAGCCTTGATTATTGAAAATGGTCAGGATAAGTTAATTTGAAAGAGTGGGTGCTTTGGTGAGACACAATGATATAAATGGCACCATAACACACATAGTATCTCTCTCTCTCTACAAATAGCCTCATAAATTCTGTGTAAAAAACTGAAAATATATAAACCCATGAAAAATTTCTCATGACAAAAGTTCCCTTTCTCTTGAATGATTAACCTAACTCTTTTTAGAACTTTTCATTTTAAGAATATTTCAAACATAAAGCTATAAGTAGAATAATCTATATATCCATCACCTAGATTTATCAATTGTTAGCACTGTAACATTCTGCTTTATCGTTCTCTTTTCCTTCATACACACACTTTTTCTTTTGCCAAACTTTTTGAGAGTAAGTTACAGATACATCACCCTTTCCCCTAAATTCTTCAGTGTGTATCCTAAGAACAAAAAAGTTCTCTTATATAGCCCCAATGAATTACTAAATTAATGAAATTAAACATTGATAAAATACTATTATCCTATATGTAGACCATATTCAAATTTCCCCAGTTGTCTCAACAAGGTCCTCTATAGCAAAAATTTTCCTGATGGGATTTTATCCAGGATCATATATTGGCTTTAGATGTAATTCTCTTTAGTCTCCTTTAATCTTAACTGGTTACTAACACTTTCTTTGCCTTCTAAGACATTTCTGAAGAGTCTAAGCCAGTAGCTTTATAAAATATCCCTCAAATTGGTATGTCCAGTTGTTTCCTTAAGTAAATATTTTGAATTCCAAGTTAAGTTATACGTGCATATGGGGTTGGGGGTGTGTGCTGAGGGGCCATAAATAAATTGACATGTTTGCCAAGAATCAATACTTCCAGGTTCATGATGTGCAAATGAACAGATGTAAAGGAAAGCTCAGGGGGCACTTTTTCTTCAAAGGAATAATGTATTCCCTTAACATTCATCTAGGATTTTAAGTCAAAGCAAAGTTACAGCAGGACAATAAATCTCTCTACATACTACCCTCTGCTAAGTAACAGACCATCCAACACAACACTGTTTCATTAGGCCATGTCCGTCACTCACCAGAATAGTCTCATGGTTTTCAGAAATGAAGCTAGAGTTTAAATACAGTTCAATAAAATGAGAGTTACGATGTCTTCAGGGTCTATTTTCTAGGCTATGCCTAAATCAGGTTAAGTTTATACTGACCAACACTTTTCCTACCCAGACAATCAAATCCAAAACAAACAGAAAAAGACCAAAAGCCTGTTCAATTCTAGACTCACCTCATCTAAGAATCCTTTCCAGACTAACTTCATTCCAAAACGTCACTCAAAATAGGAAGCCAGTTTGGGAGCACGACCCAGAATAGTTTTGATATGTAAATCAAATCTCTAACAAATACAACTTACTTCCTAGCAATGGTAGTCACTCGGATACGTCTCTGCCCACTTGAATGCTGATACTGAGTCACAAACTGGATTGCACCACGTCCTCCTTGAGGAATTGGAGCATTATGCTGTATAAATATAAAAGAGTAGAATCTAAGCAAGATCTATTACATTGTTGTCATACAGTCATGGACTGCATATCCTAGCACTAACAAAATTCATTCTAAAATCTATCAGAAGGATGCTTATTTCCAGTGCATACAAAACAGTGGTGATTTGCCACGGGAAAAAGAAACGGATTTGGGAGAGGAGAAAAATTATGGAGTGAGTCAAGCTAGGAAATCAATTTCAAGTAATATAAAATTCAGAGAAACATGAAAAAACAAAATGAAGGGAGAAGTGTAAAGAAATTAACAGATAAGAAAAGGCATAAGTGAGGCAATTTTGCCTAATAGTAACTGGATAAAAAGACATTGAGCTAACATAAAAAATAATGAAATAATGTCTTCTGCAGCAACATGGATGGACCTAGATAATCACACTAAGTGAAGTAAGCCAGACAGAGAAAGACATATATCATATGATATGGTTTATACGTGGAATCTAAAAAAACAATGATACAAATGAACTTATATACAAAACAGAAACAGACCCACAGACATAGAAAACAAACTTATGGTTACCAAAGGGGAAAGGGCAGGGGATAAATTAGGACTTTGGGATTAACAAATACACACTACTATATATAAAACAGATAACCAACAAGGACCTACTGTATAGCACAGGGAACTATACTCAATATTTTATAATAACCTATAAGGGAAAAGAATCTGAAAAAAGAATAGAAAAATATACATGTATAACTGAATCACTTTGCTGTACACCTGAAACTAACACAACATTGTAAATAAACTACAATTCAATTAAAAAAAAGAAAAAGAAATTGAGCTAAGTTCTCCTCCCCTAGGTACATAAGATGAAAACACAGCTTTGAGGAAGACAATCACATGATGAACAGATGACTAACAGAAAATCATTAATGAGAAGAGACCAATAGTAATATATGATAATGATCCTCAGAAAGAAAAAGTGGGGTGGTCAATAGGGAAACTTTCTTCATGCCCTTTGACAACATTCTTGCTTTGTTGTTGTTGTAAATGTTTGTCAATAAGAGCCACTATATTTTTCACAAATTTTAATGTAAAAAAAAATTCCTGCACCCGTCTTAGGAAGGCTGACTACTAATACTTTGTGGTTCATTTTATGCCTAATAACTATTGGTATATAAGTCAATAATTTATCCATTATATCATTCTTTAATATGATAACTTTTTCCTGCAGCAGCAGAAAAAAATCTTTCCAAATATTGGCAGCTTTACCTTCCAATTTTTTTCTATAAGTTTTGATATATTAAACTTTCTCGTAGGAGGACTCAAATATTATATACCTTGAGACACCTAGGAGGAACTAGATACCTAATTACAAAAATGCATAACTAGAACAGAATTTAAGATTTTATTTATGCTTCAATTTTTTATTAAAAACAAAAGAAAACTAAGACTAAAAGTTGGGTTGTCCAAGGTTGGGCATTTGCAGGTTTCCCTGACATCTCTATTATAGTATATCCTCTCACCAAGGAGTGTAGCCTTGAGAAACGGAAAATGACAAACAAAAACTCCAAAACAGAATAATCTTTGGGTCATAAGCTCTGGAAATATTCATGGCCTAAATAAAGTATTTTTTCAAATATGCATTTCAATATTCAAATATAAAAAGTCATACCTGATTGACAACTTCAAAATATATGGCTAAGGTTGTAGTGGGACTGAGTCCACATATCTTCCATTGACAAGTGCCACCTGTTCCTATCTCCTATAAAAATAAAACACAGTATGTTTGAAAACCAGAGAATATAGTTTATTACTATATATATATTAAGGTGAAAAAGTAGAAAAAAATACCAGTAAGAAAAAATCTATTTCAGGTTTCTAACTAATTCAATAAATGTTAGAGGTTTAAGATTTTTTTAAGATCATATAAATATACTATGAAATAAACTTAAGCAATTTTTACACAAAAAAAATTATAATTAATTCAAATTCTTGCTAAGTAACTTACAAAAGTATTGATACAAGTTCTTCATATTGTAGACTTTAAAAATATACACCATTTAATGAAGTAATTACAACTAACATTATCCTTCTATCCAACTATTTAATCTGTGTAAAGAGACAGTGATTTAACATATAACATACACATATATGAATATAGGTTCTCTGGATCAGAACTGTGTAATTTAAGCAGTCTAATTCCCAAGAAAACTTCTTAGATATAAATTTTTCCATGCAAACTGCTTAAAATTAATTTTTAAACTCTGTCATTGTAAAGATGATTGCACACTTTGTTATTTGTCCCATCATCCTCTCCACAGCTACATGATTCTACTATTTCAAAGTGCCTTATATGTCCACTAGATGTGATAAAAGAAAAGAAAGGAATTGAAGCTTAAAAGCTTAAATCTGCTGGCTACTTTGACGGAAATTCTACTAACGAAAAAAGTTTCAGAATTAATTTTGACTTTCAGGAGTTTCCAAATTTCTAAATCATAGTTGTGGTTGTTTTTTCAGGCACGCTGGGCAAGGAATAACTTAGGCATAAAAAATAGAAGACTAGTGACAGTACAAAAGTTTTAATTTAGGGGTGGATGGGAAAAGGGGTATGTGGAAAGAACAACAAATAGAGGTATACCAATGGAAGCTGAGCCACATTCTACTGTAAAACAGCCCACACAATAATTTTGAAAGGAATGCTATAGACTGCCACCCCAGGTCTCTCTTGGATCTGCCCTGAGAATTAACTGTATTTTCTTTTTAGAATAAAGATGACTTACATTTTCAGACACACAGGGTCCTTTAGAATTGAGAGACACACAGGGTCCAATAGCTCCTGAAATCTTTATTTCCCTTGAGGTCTGCAAAATAAGAATATATTGTCAGTCCTCCATATCAGTGGGTTCCACAGCTGCAGGTTCGACCAAGCTCGGATTGAAAATACTTGAAAAAAAGTTTTTCAGAAAGCTCCAAAAAGCAAAACTAGAATTTGCTGTGCACAGGCAACTATTTACATAGCATTTACATTTTATTAGGTATTATAAGTAATCTAGAGATGATTTAAAGTATGCGTGTAGGTTACATAAGAATATTACACCATTTTATAGAGGACTTGAGCATCTGCAGTGGTGGTGTGGGGGAGGTGTCCTGGAACCAGTCCCCTACAGATACCAAGGAATGACTCTAGTACACTTTGGTGTACCACCTTCTATTTTAACTCCCATTGAAAATCTGTCACCAAGACTGGTTTCTTTCCAATCTCCACTAACCCCCAAATTTAAGCTAATGTTATCTTCTATCTAAAAATTTGGAAGCCCAACTCAAGTTTTCTTACATGAGATTCTTTTTCCTGACAAATCCTGAATACCACTATCAAGACAAATTTTACCCCAAACACTGTTCTTCATTAACCTATAAGGGCTTCTTCTGCCTACACATGCATCTCCAAACTACAACCAAACCACACAATTAAAACTATTTCACTTACATTCCAATACAAGCCATCCACTATCACAGGGCAGTCTTGCCAAACATACCATGCTGATTTCTCTCCTCTGTGCCTCTCTTCACACTGGGCTCCCAATTAAAATCATTCTCCTCAACCAAGTTAAACTCTGCCATGTTTCAAAATCCACTCTAAGTCACTGTAAAACCATCTAGGATAAATTGTATGCTGCATACATTCGTTTTTCTTCCCTAAACCTTTACAGCTCTTTTATAATCTATTATTGTTTCATTCAATCACATGTGTTAATCTTGTCTTTCTATCAAGAATAAGTTCTTTATAAGAATACCTGTGCCTTAGATATTCCCTGAGATCTCTACAATTTCCTAGCTTAATGCTGGACATATAGCAAGCATTCATTGAAATAAGAAGATTAACAAGAAATATTTAATAATTCAAAATCAATGTGCTTGTAAGACACTTAAAAATAACACTAAACCTTTGGGTTTCTTGAATCCCAAATTTGAAATGAATGATAGAATTGAATAATATCAACAACTTACCAAAAACAATTACTGATTATCCAAATAAAACAGAAAATGTTTCTCTTAAGTTAGATACCAACTCCTGCAATTAAAGAATCTAGCACTAACATAAGCAAATTTAGCACTAAAAAAACCATACAGGCATACCTTGGAGATATTGTGGTTTTGGTTCCAGACCACCACAATAAAGCAAATATTGAGAATAAAGAGAATCAAACCAATTTTTTAATTTCCCACAAAGTTATGTTATATAACTTTATGTTACATAAAGTTATATTTATACTACACTGTAGTCTATTAAGTGTGCAATAGCATTATGTCTTAAAAAACAATATACATAGCTCAATTTTTAAATGCTTTATTGCTAAGAAATGCTATCATCTGAGCCTTCAGTGAGTCATAAACTTTTTGCAGGGGGAGGGTCTTGCCTCGATGTTGATGGCTGCTGACTGATCAGGGTGATGGTGGTTGCTGAAGGTTGGGGTGACTGTGGCAATTTCTTTTTTCTGTTTCTTTTTTTTGAAGTATAGTTGATTTACAATGTTGCATTAATTTCTTCTGTACAGCAAAGTGATTCAGTTACACAAATACACACATTCTTTTTTATATATTCTTTTCCACTATGGTTTATCATAGGATATTGAATACAGCTCTCTGTGCTATACAGTAGGACCTTGTTGTTTACCCATTCCATATATAATAGCTTACATCTGCTAACCCCAACTTCCCACTCCATTCCTCCCCCAGCCCCCTGCCCCTTGGCAACCACGAGTCTGTTCTCTATGTCAGTGAGTCTGTTTCTGTTTTGTAGATAGGTTCCTTTGTGTCATATTTTAGACTCCACATATAAGTGATATCATATGGTATTTGTCTTTCTCTTTCTTACTTACTTCACTTAGTATGATAATCTCTAGTTACATCCATGTTGCTGCAAAGGGCATTCTTTCTTTCTTTCTTATGGTTGAGTAGTATTCCATTGTGTATATGTACCACATCTTCTTTATCCATTCATCTGTCGATGGACATTTGGGTTGTTTCCATGTCTTGGCTATCATGAATAGTGCTGCTATGAACATAGGGGTGCATGTATCTTTATGAATTAGAGTTTTGTCTGGATATATGTGGCAATTTCTTAAAATAAGACAACAATGAAGTTTGCTGCATTGAATGACTCTTCCTTTCACAGTTTCTCTGTAGCATGCAATGCTGTTTGATAGCATTTTACCCACAGTTCAACTTCTTTCCAAATTGGAGTCAGTCCTCTCAAACCCTGTCACTGCTTTATCAACTAAGTTTATGTAATATTTTAAATCTTTTGTTGTCATTTCAACAATCTGTACAGCATCTTCATCAGTAGATTCCATTTCAAGAAACCACTTTCTTTGCTCATCCATAAGAAGCAACTCCTCTCCATTCAAGTTTTATCATGAGGTTGCAGCAGTTCAATCACATCTTCAGGCTCTACTTCCAGTTCTAGTTCTCTAGCTGTTTCCACTACATCTGCAGTTACTTCTTCCACTGAAGTCTTGAACCCCTCACATTCATCCATGAGGGCTGGAATCAACTTCTTTCAAGCTCTTGTTAAGACTGATATTTTGACCTCTTCCCACGAATCACAAATGTTCTTAATGGCATCTGAATGGTGAATTCTTTCCAGAAGGTTTTCAATCTACTTTGCCAAGATTCATCAGAGGAACCACTGTCTATGGTAGCTATAGCCTTATGAAATGTATTTCTTAAAAAATAAGACTTGAAAGTTGAAATTACTCCTTGATCCATGGACTGCATAATGGATGTTGTGTTAGCAGGCATGGAAACAACTTGAATCTCATTGTCCATCTCCAACAGAGCTCTTAGGTGACCAGGTGCATTGTCAATGAGCAGTAATATTTAGAAAAGATTCTTTTTTTTCTGAGTGGTAGGTCTCAACAGTGGGTTTAAAATATTCAGTAAACCATGTGGTAAACAGATATGCTGTCATCCAGGCTATGTTGTTCCATTTATAGAGCACAGGCAGAGTAGATCCTTAAGGGCCCAAGGATCTCGAGAAATGGTAAATGAGTATTAGGTCAACTTAAACTCACCGACCACATTAGTCCCTAACAAGAGAGTCAGCCTGTCCTTTGAAGCCCACCACTGACTTCTCTCTAGCTATGAAAGTTCTCAATGGCATCTTCTTCCAGTAGAAGGTTGTTTCATCTACATTGAAAATCTGTTGTTTTATGTAGCCACCACCTTTATTCATTATCTTAGTTAGATCTTCTGGATAACTTGCTGCAGCTTCTACATCAGCACTCAATGCTTCCCCTTGCACTTTTATGTTACAAAGCTGGCTTCTTTCCTTAAATAACATGAACCAACTCTGCTAGCTTCAAACTTTTCTTCTGCAGCTTCCTCACCTCTCTCAGCCTTCCTAGAATTGAAGGGAGGACAGGACTTGCTCTGGATTAGGCTTTGGCTTAAGGGAACATTGTAGCAGGTTTGATCCTCTATCCAGACCACTATAACTTTCTCCATATCAGCAGTCAGGCTGTTTTTCTTTCTTATCCTTTGTGTGTTCACTGGAGTAGCACTTTTAATTCCTTTTAAGATCTCCTCCTTTGCATTCACAACTTGACCAACTGTTTGGAACCAAGAGACTTAGCTTTGGCCTGTCTTGGTTTTTGACATGGCTTCCTCACAAAGCTTTTGATTTAAAGTGAGAGATGTGGGACTCTCCCTTTCACTTGAACACTTAGAGACCATTGTAGGGTTATTAATTGGCCTAATTTTAATATTGCTGTGTCTCAGGGAATAGAGAGGCCTGAGAAAAGGGAGAGAGACAAGGGAACGGCCAGCAGCTGCAGCAATCAGAACACACACATGTACTGATTAAGTTCACTGTCTTAAATGGGCACGGTTCATGGTGCCCCAAAACAATTACAATAGTAACATCAAAGATCACAGACCACAGATCACCATAACAAATATAATAATAATGAAAAAGTTTGAAATATTGTGAGAATTACCAAAATGTGACACAGAGACATGAAGTGAGCAAATACTGTTGAAAAAATGGTACCAGCAGACTTGCTCCACACAGGGTTGCCACAAACCTTCAATTTGTAAAAAAATGCAGTATCTGCGAAGCACAATAAAATGAGGTATACTTGCCAAGTATACTTAAAAAGTATACTTGCCTATACTTAAAAAGTTAAACGCTATATAAACAAAAAGTAGAGTTAAAGGAAATTTTACTTATATAATTTCCTCTTGTTTTAACAATTATTTAGAGATGCTCAAGCAAAATTTCATTGTACATTTAACGATGAACATTTTTCTGGTGAACAAATCTCTAACTCCAGGTTTCAATACAAAATAACCACTATATTTAAAGCATATCTTGAATTTGATTGATGATGTTTTAAAATTATGATCAAGCCTACAAATTTCTCTCTTGGTAACATACCATACATGTCAAGTTTTGGTTCTTACCTTTATTTCTAATGTACCACCAAAGCCCATTTTAAACTGTCCATGCATATCTTTGGTAAAAACTCTTTGAAAAGTTTGCTTGAATAAGGAAGTGTTGAAAGAGTCACCCATTACCATGTATCCTCTGCATGGAAAGAGCAAAAAACAATGTGACACAAGGGTCCATGTGTAAAACCAGAAAAGTAAATTATTTTTCAACACTACCAACAAAATTTTAAAGATATTTCCCAAGATGTGTGATATTAACATTAAAAAACATTTTAAAAACTCAATTATATGAAAATATCCCCACGCCACAAATAAGCTCAATTCTGAGGGTACCTGAGTGCCCCTAACACTTGTATCTGTCCTCAGTAATTTTTAAAAATTCTTTTTTAAATAGGTAATACATCTATACATTACAAAATTCAAAAAGTACAAAAGGGTACATAGTAATATATGTGTCTCTCCCATCCCAGTTACCCAGTTCTCCCTACTGGTGAAGACATCTGACAGTTCACAGCATTCATTCTCATTCTTAAAAATAAACATCTCCATGTGTAGTGTGTGTATATGCATATATTGTCTCTGTGTGTCACACTGAACTTAACAGTGTTATACCCAGTGAATGAGAATACAGGCATATTTTGGGAGCATTTTCACTTTATGCACTTAAGTACTGTTAAAATTTTTTCAGTAACCATGTACCTTTATAAATTTTTTTAAGTTTTAAAAAACACTAACTGTCAAATAAAAACTATTCTGAGATGCCATTTCCACCCTAATAAATCAGCAAATCAGTCTGACAACATATTCTGTTGATGAGGCTGTGGAAAAACGGGCATGCTCATAATTGCTTATGGGAATGGACAATGGTGCAAACCCAAAGCAAGGGAACTTGACAGTATCTAACAAAATTACATATGTATTTTCTCTGTAATCCAGCCACCCCACTATTAGGAATCTATCCCAAAGATAATGGGGCAAACAAAAACCAAAAAGCAAAATACAGGCACAAGTCTATTCACTGAAGTACTATTTATAATAATAAAAGATTGGAAACAATCCAGATGTTTCCAATTCAGACTAGCTGAATAAAATACGGTACAACCACACAATGGAGTAATATACAGTTGACCCTTGAAAACCACAGGTTTTGAACTACGTGGGTCCACTTATGAGCGGATTTTTTTCAGTAGTAAATATTACAGAACTACACTATCCACTGATGGTTGAATCTGAGGATGCAGAACTGCAAATATAGAGGAACCACAGATATGGAGGGCCAACTAAAAATTATACTCAGACTTCCCACTATGCAAAGGGTCAGTTCCCCCAATCCTCAAATTGTTCAAGGGTCAACTGTACTACTACAACTGTACTACTATAAACCCATTTCCAAGATACCAGTAAAAAATGCAAAGTAGGGGAAGCTATGTAAAACTTTCTACTGTTTAAATTAAAAGGCGGATACATATATCCATATACAACCTGAGTACAAACATTTACATGTATTTGCTCATCATATTTTTAAAATATTTTAAGTAGTTTTTAAAATAACAATAAAACAATCAAAAATTACATTAGGCAAAAGAAAAAAAACTGATGTGGTATAATTAATCAATGGAAATTTTATTTTTGATACTGCTAAAGTCCTAATTTATGTTATCTCTGATGCTATTATAGATTGTATGCTGTTAAATTTTGTTTGCTTTTTATAGTTGACCCTTGAACAATGCGGAGTTTAGGGCACAGACCCTTATGTGCAATCAAAAATCTGTGTAAAACTTTATAGTCAGCCCTCCGTATCCATGGTTCCACATCCTTGGAGTCAACCAACCAAGGATCATGTAGTACTATAGTATGTATATATTGAAAAAAATCCACATATAAGTGGACCTGTGCAGTTCAAACCCATGGTGTTCCAGGGTCTACTCTATTTGTTACTGTTATACAAAAATATAGTTGAATTTTGTACACTGACCTTGATTTAGAAGTCTTGACAACTTAACATACTAATTCTAATAGTTTGCATGTAGATTTTTTCAGATTTTCCACTTTTGCAAACATGTCATCTAGAACGATCTATGTTATCACTAAACCTAGTAAAACATCCTAAAATAATGGCAACGTATACCATACCCTACTTATCCACTCCCTTTTACAGCAAACCTCTATGAAAGAGCTGTCTATACCTTTACTACTCAGTGTTGCCCTTGGTCCAACAACATTAGCATCACCAAGGGTCTTGTTTGAAAAGCAGAATTTCAAGTCCCATCCTATGCATACTAAATCCAGAATCTATATTTTAACAAGATATCCAACTGACTTGTACATGTGAAATGAAAGTCTGAGAAGCTCTGGTCTAAGTCAGCTGCTTCCGATCCCCTCCTCCTGTTCCTTTTCTTATTCACTCTAAGTCAACTTTCAGTGCTCTTAGGAAGGTCACCAATGACCTTCGTAGTGTTAAATTACACAATCTTACAATCTCATCCACTTTTATTGCTTTAAAAAACCAACAACAGGGACTTCCCTGGAGGCGCAGTGCTTAAGAATCCGCCTGCCAATGCAGGGAACACGCATTCAATCCCTGGTCTGGGAAGATCCCACATGCCGCAGGGCAACTAAGCCCGTGTGCCACAACTACTGAAGCCCATGTACTCTAGGGCCCATGCTTCGCAACAAGATAAGCCACTGCAATGAGAAGCCCGCACACCGCAATGAAGAGTAGCCCCTGCTTGCTGCAACTAGAGAAAGCCTGTGCACAGCAACCCAATGCAGCCAAAAAAAAAAAACCACGGCAATATTCTGACAACTCCTGCATTTATATCTCTAGATATAAATTCAGACCTATCTTCTGCATTGTAGGTTCTAATATCCAACTGCCTACTCAACCTCTCCCCATGGATGTCTACTGGCATCTCAAACCAAACATGTTCAAAACTGAACTCCTAATATTCTCCCCAAATGTTCTTCCTCCCAGTCTTACCCATTTCAATAAAGGACAACTCAATCCTTCTAGACTTATTTGGTTTTCTCAAACCCCAGATCCAACCTCCTAGCAAATTCTGTCTTCTAAATATACCCCAAATCCAACCACTTCTCACCATCTGTGATGCCACCACTTGATATTCCTGTGTCCCTCTATGTACTAAAGACAACTAAAGTCAAATGATCCTTTTAAAGCATTAAGTCAGATCATATCACTCCTCTCCTGAAAACTCTCTAATGACTTCCCATCTCACTCAAAGAAAAATCCAACAAACTAGGAATAAGAACATACTCAACCTGATAAAGGCATCTACAAAAATCCACAGCTAACATTATACTTAATGGTGAAGGATAAAATGGTTTCCCCCTAATATCAAGAACAGGCAAATCTATAGGGACAGAAAGTAGTTTAGTGGTTGTCTAGGCTGAAAGGGGGAGGGGGAGGAAGGAGAAATGGGAAGTGACTGCTAATAGGTACAGGGTTTCTTGCTGGGATAATGTAAATGTCCTAAAATAAAATCATGGTGATGGGTAGAATATACTAAAAGGAAAAAAAAACCATTAAATTACATGCTTTAAATGAGTAAATTTTATAGTATGTGAATTATATCTCAAAAAAGCTACCAAAATAATAATATAAAACAATGACTGAAGGGTATGAAGATGATCTTTTCAAACAGAACTTGTGCCTTTTTAACTGTATTTTAGAAAAAATTTAAAGTAAGCTTTACTGAAAGGAGTATCAAAAACTGTTAATAGCTGTTGCCCTGGAGTGGCAGGATCATGACTATTTCTTTTTCCATTATTGGTTTATATTTGTAAAGTGTCGTTATTAGTTTATAACTGCAATACTTGTAAAAATGTATATACATACCCAGTAAGGTTAGGACAGCATTTCATCTCCAGGAGACCTGTCTGATCTAATGCACATGCATAGATATCAATAACATGACCAGTCGTAGCAGCGCGATTAGCCAGTGCTTCAAAATGCTACAACAGATTTTTTAAGATCAAATCAAAGTAATGTACAAACTTAATCATCCTATAAATCTTTTGCCATTAATAAATCAAAATGATCTAAGAAATACTAAAAGAATAATCCATAATAATTTAAGTGTGATTTGTTCTAAATTTTCTATAACGTCTCATAAGATGATACGATAACTTCTAATAAGTCTGACACTTTCACATTCTTTTCTTTAAATGCCATTCATTCTAAATGAACTCCTAAATTTCGAGCTAACCTTGAAGAAAGGCATGTTGCTCTTCATACATACATGATGGAAGAACAACACAGAACTCTTTTTCCTGGATAAATCTATACTCAAGTAACATGAAAAATAGACAATAGCAAAAGCATTAAGATAAACAAATATAAAACTTCTTTTGAAGCTCTAAGAAATACTCCAAATTCAAAAGGGAAATTAGGTGACAGGAAAAAAAGCATCCATTAATAGTGACAAAAATTATGTTATTAATTACACCCTAAAAATATAATAATGACTACCAAAAAGAAATATGAGATAATACAGGACAACTAAACTAAAATTGTAAACTCTAGACAATTTTTTTAAAAAGGGGGGGAGGGATGCGACATTAACAAGCAGAACCAATACAAGGGTATCAAGAATCAACAGTAGTGAAAATGTACTGACACAAACCCAGATAAAATTGAAGTTACATGAACAGAGAACAACTTATGAGAAAATGATGGACTATTCAAGCTATGAACAATATACATATCTAAAGGGCAGCCTCCTGGAAATGAAAAATTGGAAAATTCAAGAAATTCTTCCTGATGGGAAAGACATTCTTTAACATGAATATTAAAAAAGACACACAGGTTTTCTCTCAGGAGTAGTTTTTAAAGAGACACCTATTGGTGCCCCTTATTAAGTTTTAAAATATTTAAAACCAGAAAAAATATAACAAATTATCAAGGAAGAAAAAGACTATTTCTCTAATTCTGAGGAGCAGTTGCAGTATCATCACAATATCAGATTTATCAGAAAGTAATTATATTCTTCCTCTTCCATCAAATGAATTTTTCTAATAAGGCAAAAGGACTTAAAAACCAAAATTACCTTAGTTCCCTTTTTAACATATTTTGCATTGTCTTTTTCAATGTCATGCCACGATCTTATGGGTGTCTTCAATTCGTCTCCAACCACCATTCCAGGCCCCTGAGTGGCTGGACCACCAATGAACATCATGATACGAGCACCAGTGTTGGGGAAAGTACACTATCAGGAAAAAGTAATTCATGAGAAGAGCTTAAAGGAAAATATATGGATATACATTTATGATAGTGAATTTTTATATATTCTTTCTAGAAAACAGGGAAGCATACATTTTCCAAGAATAATCAAATGTTTAAAACAAAATTTAAAAACAAGATGTTTGTGTGAATATCTTTCTTTTGAAATCCTATTCTAATAGCAATGCCTTCCTAATTTTAAAATAATCTATAAACCTGATCCCTATAAGCAAGGATGTTTCTAGTACTAGATAGGGAAGGGTAGGAAAAGAAGAAGAAAAGAGGGTATCTTTTTCTGTTTGGTTGTTATTTTTGTTTTCTATGCTTAAAATACATGCACAACTTTTATTTCTAATTCAAACTGATGGATTGAGTACTTCAATCTACCTCCCCCTTCTTCCCAAGATGCCAGTGAAATGATATAAATGGTACTGTTTAAAAAATAAATAAGAAAGAGTACTATCAGCAGACTAGAAATTTTGAGGAATCCAAACAACAGATTATACTGGATTGATGAAAGAATTTTAACTATATATATTATGTATAATTTAAAAAATATATATGTACATATATATATACCAAAAGTAAGCCAGATCTTCCCAAGGGAAAATCTTAAAAACTCTACATTTAGAGTCAAAAAAACACAAAAAGCAGCAATGGGCCAAAGAAGTGCAGTCAGCTCCAGAAACAGCAGCTAATGACAACAGATTTTAGCAATTCCTAAGAAGAGCTCTCTGAGAAAAGTAGGCAATCTTCCCAGAGAAGGTTCTCAGCATAGAAATTGGGGGCTGAAAGATACAGAACACATGTTACAATGAATATCAAAACAAATATGAAAACTCTCGAGAGATTCTAGAATTAAAATCATGGCAAAAGTAAAAATACCTCAAGGAATGGGCTAAAAAGCATGTCTGAAGACCAAGTTAGAGATATGGAAAATAAACTTGAAGAAACCTCTAAGAAATAGGAGCAAAGAAGGAAAACATGAGGAAAAAAAATAAAGATATGAAGAAATGCAGAAGTCCAGCATCAATCTAATGAATATAGAATAAAAAAGAAAAAAAGAAAGTAAGCTGAAGAATGACAGGAGTCTTAATGAAAGGACCTACCAACAACCAAACATAATGAAAAAATAATCAAACCTAAACACAACCTAATGAAATTTCAGAACTCTAAAATTAAAGAGAACATTCTAAAAATGTTCAGTGGGAAAAATAAGTTTCCTGAAAAGGACTAAGAATGAGACTACATCAAATTATCCAATAAACTATCTGTTAGAATACTAGCGAGGAATGGCTCAAAGATCCTATTGAAGACAGGGACCCAAAGTACAAATGAAGTGAGAGGGAAAAATTAAAAAACATTTTTAGACATGCAAGAACTCAGAAAATTTATAATAAACAAAAGAACTGAGTACAATCCAAAAGAAACAGGGAATCTAGAAAAAAAAAAATTTAAAGGTATCCTAAGACTTTAATACATGAAAGATTCCCCAGCAAGCAGCAAAACTGCAATTACAAAGAATTACATCTCCTTCTCTATGTGTATAACCACTCTATTCCACAATTAACAATATTTATATATCATATTTGAAATGCTTTTATTTCTAATTTCTATAAGCAGTTATTGAACAAAAATACGCAGTGCATTTTCAAGCTACATTATAGCTTCAGAAAAGAATGTCAATGATATATACTTTGATGATAATTTTAAAAATTCATGATTAACAAATCTAGGCAAGAGCAAGGAAAACTGCCTTTTACTTTTCATTTTTATACATCCTTGCATATTTGAATGTTTTTATTAGGTATACTTATTACTTCTATAACATTCTTAAACTAGATTAATAAACAAATAAAAATACTGTTTTCATACTGGGTATCATCCTGCTGAGGTAACAGCAGTCATGTAAAGCTGAAACATCAGTAAAGAACAAGAACAAATTAAAGTATACAAACCACACACCTTCATACCTAGAACTCAAAAAGCATTCAAACTTCAAGTTACTTATAAGTAAAAAATAAATAAATAAACACTAAGTCCCAGTGAGCTATCTCCCACGCAAGCCTTCACACAAGCAAGGGCAGTTTGGGGAAAAGTACAAGGAAGAAAGAAGGAAGCTAGCAGCCAGCATAGAACAACTGCCAGATTCAAATGAAAACTTATTAAGGGGCACTAAAGAACAGCAAGAAAATAATCAAGAGCATGAAAATGAAATAAATAAGAATAAAAGATCAGAGATAAAGTGGTTGAAATAGAAAACAAGCAAAGATCCAATTTATGTATAATTGGAGTTCTTAAAGAAGATAAACAAAACAATGAAAAAACTAACACTTAAAACTGTAATACAAGAAAACTTTATAGAAACAAAATACTTGAATACACATATAGAAAAGGATCACCAGGCACTAGAGAAAATTAACCCACAGGACATACTAGTAATACTCCAAGCAAATGATCAAGTAATTTACAAGGGCAAGAGAATTAGGCTGGCATAATTGCATAGGCTCAATCTACTCATGATTAAAGATCAGATAAACCCAAATTGAGAGTCCTTCTACAAAATAACTAGCCTATACTCCTAAAAAGTATTGTCATGAAACACAAAGAAAACTGTGGAACTGTTCCAGAATAAAGGACACCAAAGAGACATGACAAGTGAATTCAATATACAGTATTTTTAGGATAACTGGTGAAATCTGAATAAAGTTTAAAGATTAGAAAATAGTGTTATACCAATGTTAATTTCATGATTGTTAAATGAACTGCGGTTATACAAAGGAATGTTCTTATGTAATTAAGAAATGCACACTAAAGAACTTAGAAGTAAAGGGACATCACATTTGTAACTGACTTTCAAATGGTTTTTTAATATTTATATGTGTGTAACATATAAATAGATACCTATATATAGCTACATCTATATTTATAGAGAGAGCACACTATATAAATATCTGGAGAGAGAAGGATAAAGCAAATGTAATAAAATGTTAACATCTGAGGAATCTGGGTGAAAGGTTTAAAGGAATTCTTTGAACCATTCTTGTAACTTTTCCGTATGTTTGGAATTATGTCAAAGTAGAAAGTTAAAAGAATAAAAAATGATAGTAACAGATAACTCACTGTAAAAAATAGGAAACCACGAATCCACAGTGATATTAATAAATGAATAAATTGAAAGTTTGATGAGGAATAGGATATTTGCATGGTTTCAAAGATCCTCACCATCTAATGTTTATTAATTACAAAAGGAGGGGAAATAAGAGTAATTTTACAGTGGAGAAACCTGGCAGACACACCTTAATGAGTGATCAAAGTCATAATCATCAATAATGCGCAAATGAAAATCATGTGCCACCTGAGAGGATACAGTAAGAACAGACCACTACTTCTGTGATATTCCTTCCAATGATGCAATACCTCAATCTAACTGTGACGCTACATCAAGACAAACCTAATTTGAGAGACATTCTATATACTGGCCTGAATCTTCCAAAGTGCCAAGGTCATGAAAGTCAAGGAAAGGCTGAGGATCTATACCAGACTAAAGGAGACTAAACAGACATAACCACTACATACATGCCTCTGAATTAAATACTTTCAGTAAAAGAAATTATTGAGATAACCAGTGAAACTTGAATGAGTTTTGAGAATTAGATGGTAGCAATGTATCAGTGTTATGTATTGTATAATACATCAGTGTATGTATCATATATTTCAAAACCTGACTTTGAAAGTTGTATTATGGTTATGTAGGAGAATATCCTGGTTTATAGGAAATACAACTAAAGTATTCAAGGGGTTGGTAACATCACTTCAGCAACTTAATCTCAAATAGTTCAGAAAAAAAGTCCTTTGCAGCTTTTCTATAAATTTAATAACATTTCAAATTTTAAAAAACATTTTTTAAAAAACTCTTCTAATTACAAAGCTAATATATGTCAAGTGTAAAATTTTCAAATTCTACTTAAAAGTAAAACTCTCCTTAACCCACCACTGTTAACAATTGGGTAAATATCCCTCCAGAAGCCTCTCTATACACAAAAGGATGTACCACAGATCAAACTTTAAATAAAATCACATATGCGCTGTCCTATGACCTGATTTTTCCACCCAACATTATCTTGTACATATCATTCCATACACACACATACACATTTACATTCCAAAACAAAGCTATTGTCACTACCTCAAGTAGTCCTACAGCTATGGAAAGTGCCACCCCAGAGGAACGCAAAGGTCTCTTTCCCTGTGGTACAGGCCACGGGTCTCGCTGCAGTTCTCCCAGAAGATCTGTGAGATTCATGTCTATTTTCTGTACTGGCTGTAAGAACCTGCAAAACAAAATTAAATAAAAATCCATTTATAAATGTTTGTGGGTGAGGGTTTAAGAAACAAATTGTCCACTTTCTTAAAAATAGAGAAAAATAATTCGAATACACAGTAGAACAATGGTTCGCAAACTTTTGTGTACATCAAAATTGGTGGGAGGGTTTGTTTTAACATAGATTGCTGGTTCCAAAGTTTTGTTTCAGTAAGTCTGGGGTGGTGACCAAAAATTTGCCTTTCAAATAAGTTCCCAGGTGATGCTGCCCACTGGTGAAGAACCACATTGAGTACAACTACTATAAATAAAACACTCAAACCAAGTATTACTTTGAGACTGCACCTTCCTTTTACCAATCTAGTAAGTTTTAAGGTTACTGAATTAATTATGAGAAGATACATCAACTCAGTTTTAGTAAGACCACCTCTGATTAGTAAGTTTAGTGGAAAAAGCTACTCCAAGGCTAAGGAGGCAAAATGAAAAGTTTGTGGGGCACTATTTTTGCTTGGCTGCCTTCAACCACAAAAACTAAGTTTTTCTGAACTTAGAAAATCAAGAATATATCAAAACTAAAGAAACTCCTTACACTGTAATAATGAAAAACCAACCTTTTCAGCGATGTGATTCTACCTCAACTCTTTAAAAAGTATACTAATGCAATATTTATATTCCTAAAAATGTTTAACAATATAGTATCACTGAATCCCTACATTCAAGTTAAGGATATAGGATGCTTAAAATAGCCACATGAATTGTAAAATTCTCTTTGCCGTATTTATTACCTATTGGAAGGAGGTGGCTGCTGTACCTGAGGACCACGTGTTGCTTGAGTAACTGGTACTTTAGAGAGCCCCAGCATTTCCTGTAAAGAGATTATTTTTGTGATATCCATTTAATTACTCCCACAAAGATGTATCAAATATTTATGACATGCAAGGTGCTTCTGTAGGCAACAGGAACACAAAAATAAAGAACACAAAGTCTCTTCCCTCAGAAAGCAAAAGTTCTAGTTGGGGAGACTGTCAGGTAAACAGTAATACAATGAAATGATCATCATACGACAGCAAAGTACAAGGTGCTATGTGAGCAAAAAAGAGGGATACTAGCTCAGAAATACTTTATTTCTAATTAAGTAAAAATAAGTTACTGTGTAACTTGAATGTCTATATTTCTTAACTTATCTTCATTCATTCCTTTCAGCAACTATATCTCAATGTGCCAGGTATCTAATGTTGAAAAAAATATATAGTCCCTGACCGTATGGAAATTTATATCTGGTGAAACAGACAAGAGTTAAATCATTAGCTAAATAAGTGTAAAATTGCAACTGTAATAAATATAAAGGAGAGATACAAGGAATTGTATTAATGGGGTTTATAAGGTACACACACCTTGTACGTCTATTCTTCTTAATTTTCTGACTTAATGCCTAACCAAACTGCCAGTTTTGTTCTGAATTTTAGATGTATGCAGAATTCCTCTCTAGACACATGAAAATAATGTTATTTTACTAAAATTTTCTTGAATCTAGAAATGCTTAATCATAAAGTAATAGAATAAAAGTATATAACAGAAAATCAGAAAGTCTAAAGATTTGCAAAAAAAAAAAAATATTGAACCAATCCTGCAGTATTTCCTACACTGCTAGAATGAACAGCAACTTTTTACTGAGGACTTATGTGCCAGATTCTGTGCTAAACTCTTTGTATATAATATTTCCTCACAAAATATAATGAAGTAGATTTTTAAATTCCTGCCTTGCAAATGAAAACTGACACTCAGAAGGGCTAAGTAACTTGCCTAAGGTTACAAAACTAGTAAGTAGCAAAGCAAGATATTAGTCTAGATTTTGCTATGAAGCCCTGAAAGAGTTTACACTACACTGAGTGTTCTCACTTACATTATTTCATTTAGTATTAAAATAAAATAATCTGGTAAAATACGTATTGTTTATTCCTTTCCATAGAAGAGGAGAAAACAAGCAAAGAGATCAGCCCAAGATCACACAACTAGAAGAGTTTAAGATTTGAATCCAGAACTATTTGGGGAACAAAGACCAGGCTCTCTTCAACAAGATGGGTAGAGAAGGAAGATAAAAACATTTTGATGGAGAAAAAAATTTAGTTTGCATGCATTCGTTGTTTCAAAAAGGCAGATGTTTTATGTATTACATATATATTACATAATTTAAGTAAAATGTATTCTACAATCAGAACTAGAAATAAACTACTTTAAATAAATTTACAGTTTAAAAATAACAGTAATAGCAAACATCTAAAAGCACAATCCATTTAATTTTCATGACTGCCCCGTAAGATACATACCATTATTATCTCCCTTTACACATGAAAAAACTAAGGTATGGGCTTCCCTGGTGGCACAGTGGTTGAGAGTCCGCCTGCCGATGCAGGGGACACGGGTTCGTGCCCCGGTCCGGGAAGATCCCACGTGCCACGGAGCGGCTGGGCCCGTGAGCCATGGCCGCTGAGCCTGCGTGTCTGGAGCCCGTGCTCCGCAACGGGAGAGGCCACAACAGTGAGAGGCCCACGTACCGCAAAAAAAAACAAAAACAGAACTAAGGTACATAGAGGTTAAAACTTGCCCACTCTCTCTTGTCTCATGGAAACAAGTGATCCTCCCCTTCAAGGTACTCTGCTTCTTATGCTCTTGAAGGAATCCCTGTCATGTTTTGTGAAACCTCACTCTCCTCATCTCACTCTTCCTTTCACTCACCATCTTTAGTCTCTTTCTTTTTGTGTATAAACACATTCAAGTGTCCCTCCTAAAGTAAACCTCTTTAACTCAGTCCTCTCTCTCTCAAACTTTCGCACTATCTCCTTCCCTACCTTCAACAACAAACCTCTTGAAAGAACACAGACTCTAATTTTCCCCACTTCCTCAAATCTTAATCACTACTATGATTCACTACCATATTCACTGTTCATTTATCCTCCCCCTCCAAACCTGCATATTCCTCCAGTATTTTCTGTCTCGGTTAACTGCAGCACCACTATCCTAGTCTGCTAAGCTTCAAATTAGTCATCCTCAAAATCTTTTTTTTTTTTTTCATTTTGGGCTACCTGGATGCCTCCAAAGTCTGATTTCATATCTGTCTACTTTATACCAGGATTATCAATCAGGGTAATTTCTCAACTGGGGTTTGTATAAGAATCACTTAGAGGGACTTCCCTGGTGGCACAGTGGTTAAGGATCCACCTGCCAATGCAGCGGACACAGGTTTGAGCCCTGGTCCGGGAAGATCCCACATGCTGTGGAGCAACTAAACCCGTGCGCCACAACTACTGAGCCTGTGCTCTAGAGTCACGAGCCACAACTGCTGAGCCCGCAGGCCTAGAGCCCGTGCTCCACAACAAGAGAAGCCAACACAATGAGAAGCCTGCGCACTGCAATGATGACTCAACACAGCCATAAATAAATACATAAATTTATTAAAAAAAAAAAAAAAGAATCCGCCTGCCAATGCAGGGAACATGGGTTCAATCCCTGGTCCGGGATGATCCCACATGCCTCAGAACAACTAAGCCCATATGCCACAACTACTGAGCCTGCACTCTAGGGCCCACGAGCCACAACTACTGAGCCCACGTGCCACAACTACTGAAGCCCGTGAGCCTAGAGCCCGTGCTCGGCAGCAAGAGAAGCCACTGAATGAGAAGCCCACGCACCGCAGCAAAGAGTAGCCCCCACTCGCCACAACTAGAGAAAGTCTGTACGCAGCAACGAAGACCCAGTGCGGCCAAAAATTAATTAATTAATTAATTTTAAAAAAAGAATCACTTAGAAAGTTTTTCAAAACACTTACATGAACAATCTCTACCCTCTCAACTATCTTCCAGTTGAAGCACATATTCACTCACTCTCTTATGATCAAAATCTCTGGACAGAAAAAGATTTTGAAAAATACACCAAGATGATCCTAGTATGTTACACATAACTCGCTGCCTTGGAAGACAAAGCTTCAATTTGCCGCAAAGATAAAAATGTCCTAGTGTGTGAAAAGATATATATACTCGTGGTTCACCTATTAACTCTCAAGCCTTAAAATATGTACCCTTGCCAAAAGTGTTTTTTTCCTAACTGAGATGTAAAGAAACAAAAGCTAAAATTCTGTGGTTACCTTCTCTCAGTCTTCAGCATGACTCTTCTATAAACCTTTCAAATCTCTAGTAAAATAGCTTCAGTTTCACTCTAAATTTTAAAGATACTTCAAAAGTGAAGGGTCTTCAATCTCTACGATAACAATTTAAGGCAAATGAAAGAACGCTGAGGCCAACACTAAATTTAAAGGCTTTGTTATAATACAATTATATTAGTCATTCATAATATTTTCTAGAAACGTATATCTAGAAGGCATTTACAGACATACATAGAGTGATGTGCACAAACAGGCTAAAACTACCATTCTTGTTGTTTACCTGCAGTTGTTTGGCAGACAGATCTTTTGTTCCTCTGAAGACATAGCTTTTTGAAATGCCCTCACATCCAAGTTCATGAACCTGCACCATTCTCCCAAAAGTAATTAGGCCAACCAAAGCTGTAGGTGGTAAAAGACTTAATGACATCTGCATAGATTCTTTCAGGGCTTGTAAGTCTTCATCTTCCATGCAAGTATCAACCACATAGAGGAATATCAAAGGCATCTGAGGACCACGCTTTTAAAAAATGTTGCGATTAAAAAAAAAATGTTTTAAAAGTATTAACACTTCAGCACAATACATAGGATAATCAATAGAGGACTAATTAAATAATTTACAATAATTTACACAATGGAATCCTAATAAAGCCATTTCAGAAATGAAACAGGTTATATATGCATGGAGAAATATCCAAGACATCATCAAGTGAAAAAGTCAGTTTAAAAACATTATTTATAGTTACATGAAGGAGATTTTCACTTTCAATTTTACTTAACTGCATGAGGTTTCATTTCTTATAATAAGCACTTATTTCTTTTAAAATAAGAAAATAGTAACTATAAAGCTTAAAAGCAAAATTAGGTGATTTTTATAAAATAATTATCTAACCCTGAATTGGATTATAAGAGAACTGGAAACTAGCCAGAGTGGACAAATTACTGACTGGCTCAGTGAACCATATTCTGGTTTCTCTACAACATTCATAAAAAATATTACCTTAATACTTAAATATGTAAATAACTATGTAAAGCTGTTCAGAAAGGGAAGAAAAATGATTTTCCTAACAAGGGCCAATGCAAGAGTAATTTCATTATTAGACTTGGGAATATATCATTAGCCTCGAGCATCATACTGACCAAGTATTTGTAATTGACTTTCCAACTACAAAGCAAAATTGATACTTTACTGTTTATTGATCTATTCGGTATAGCAAACCACACCCCCCCCCCAATACCTTGGCCACCTTTCAAATAACTACAACAGAAATTACCTTACTCAAACTGACCTTGACAGTTCTTACCTTTGAAATTCTCAATCAATTCAATGTGAGAATCAAGAATGATGCCTTTTGGGCTTCCCTGGTGGCGCAGTGGTTGAGAATCTGCCTGCTAATGCAGGGGACACGGGTTCGAGCCCTGGTCTGGGAGGATCCCACATGCCGCGGAGCAACTAGGCCTGTGAGCCACAACTACTGAGCCTGCGCGTCTGGAGCCTGTGCTCCGCAACAAGAGAGGCCGCAATAGTGAGAGGCCCGTGCACGGCGATGAAGAGTGGCCCCCACTTGCCACAACTAGAGAAAGCCCTCGCACAGAAATGAAGACCCAACACAGCAAAAATAAATTAATTACTAAACTCCTACCCCCAACATCTTCTTAAAAAAAAAATGATGCCTTTTAAGTCAGCTCAATTTAACAGTTATTTTGGTATAAATTACTGGATATTTTAAATTTCTTAAAGAGTTACTCTTATGTTCTTACCAGAACTACATATTCAATGCTAGAAAACTGAGGTAAAAGTTCAGCAGGTTGATTCAGTTCAGATATACCAGCGTAAGTAGGTGGAAACTGCAGGTAGAAAAAAAAATTTTTTTTAATAAATTATTTGTGTGAAATTTTAAACTGAAAATAATTATTTCCTGATCATTTAATTATTAAAAAAGGTAGTTTCATCATATATAAAGTTATTTTATCTTTATTTTTAAATATGCATCTTTCTGCATATTTAGAGCAGTATTATAGCATTAACATCTGCAACAGGGGTTTTCTTACCTGATTCCTTTGATAACAAAAGTTGCAAGCCCAGAGTTTTGCTCGATAATCCACTTGACTGTTTTAAGAAAAGATACAATAGCTCATGGTTCAGTTAAATTGTACAATAATCCTAATTTCAATAAAATTAATTTCTTTCTGAAAATGAATATATTCAAATTGATATCAAAGCAATCTTTAAAAGCCATGTATTTTTAGGTGTTTTCTTTTCCTCCAAATGGCTCAGTAACTTCTAAACTTAGATCTAGAAAGCATTTATTCAATAAAAATATATTTATTGAATGCCATTATTCTAGGTGCTGATAAAGAAGTAAACAAGATCATAGGTCCCTGTTATCACAGAGTTTATATTGTAGAAGAGAAAGACAATAAACAAGTAAACGCATAAACACAGAAGATACTTTTAGATAGCGATAATAAAGATTAAAGATAACAAAGCAGGACATGAGAATGTATTTGGAAGGGCTACTATAAAGGAAAGCCTTCATTAATAAACAACTGAAGGGCTTCCCTGGTGGCGCAGTGGTTAAGAACCCGCCTGCCAATGCAGAGGTCACGGGTTTGATCCCTGGTCCAGGAAGATCCCACATGCTGCGAAGCAACTAAGCCTGTGTGCCACAGCTACTGAGCCTGTGCTCTAGAGCCCGTGAGCCACAACTACTAAAGCCCGCACGCCCCAGGGCCTGCATGCCACGAGAGAAGCCACAATAATGAGAAGCCCGCGCAACACAATGAAAAGCCCTCTCGCCGCAACTAGAGAAAGTCTGCGCGCAGCAACAAAGACCCAAACGCAGCCAAAAAAAATAAAAATAAAAAAATAAACAACTGACATGTAATCAGAATGAAAAGAAACCAGTCACAGGAAAATCTGGGGGCAAAGCAATCCAGGCAGCACATATAGCTATTGCACAAAGTCTGTGGTAGAAGTAAGTTAGGTATATCCAAGGATAAGAGAGAGGGTAAGGTATAATGCAGATGAAAATAAAGAAAATGGATGATACAAGATGAAGGCAGAAATACACAAAGGATAGATCATATAGGGTCTTATAGGTCTTGATAAGGGCTATGGATGTTTCATTCCAAGTGTAATAAGTATCTATTGAACAATTTTAATAATCTGATATCCATTTGTAAAACTCTAGCTTCTGAGTGGAGAAGAGACTGCTGAAAAGCAAGAATGGAAACAGGAAGACCAGTTAGGAGGATAATGAAACCATCCAGGAAAAAGATGGTATATTTTGAAGTATCATGTTCTAGCAGAGAGTAAGAGACAGAATCCTGATTGTTCTGGAGATGGAATCAACCAGATTTGCTAGTGGACTGAGTGGAGAGAGAGGGAGCAGAAAGAGGAATAAAAGTTAATTCTTGAGAGTCTGGCTTATGTAACAAGAAATCATAACATTTTTCAAACACCATACCACTCAATTATGACCTTTCAAATGACACAAGATGGGTTGGTTGCCAGCATCAGTATCTAGAGAATACTGATAGAATCTAACAGTTTACACAGTGACAACTTTGCATTTTGGTTTCTTATCAACTCTCTACAACTAGAATGATCCTAAGATTTTATAGCTCTTTGGATCTGACTACCTTAATTTGAAAAAATAACTATAATCAAAAACAAAGATATTCTTATATAAATGAGCAAGAAAGAAACTACATTTTTTTAAATCATAGTGACATGAGTTTTTTCCATATACTTTAATTACCATAAGGGATTCAAAACTGCACGGCAAGTGGTCCTACTACACAGAACAGGTTCATATTGAATGGGTGGCAAATCTGGTCTCTCCTTCAGTGGTGTAAATAAGGCTGCTACTGGAACGACCATTCTTGTAGCTTCCAGTCGACTTGATGGCCAAACATTCCAACTAAATCGGACTCCATCTCGTTCTTCATTTTGTTGGATGAATTCCAAATAGGTTGTCATCGTAGAGCTTGATTCTTATTTCTGTAACAAAATTAAAGGATATTTTTAAATCCTCTTAAGAAAATTCAAAATAAGTATGTTTTTCCCACTTCCAGCAATATTAATCCATTAGAAATCATAACCAAATGAAAATATTTATCTCAAAAAAAATTAGCAAACAACAATGACCACAATTATAACAAAATAATGAACGGCTCTACAGAACCCAATGCATATTAGGCCCAATGAGAGGTATTTTATCGTTTTTTATTCACTCCCAAAAAAAACTATGGCAAAAAATAATAAATAATAAAATAGATGTCCTATTGATTTAGGCAAAAATGGGGGAAAATCTAGATCCTAAGTTTTCCATATCAGCCTTGTGAGTTACATTATTCTAATACATAGATTGTCAAAAACATTAAATTCTAAAACTCACATGCTTTTCTACCCAGAAAGTAGTAAGTTTCCACTAAAATTGCTAGAAAAGAATATTTAAGGGTGCAAAACAAAAATATTTTTCTAAAACTAGGTACTTCTATTTTAGACAGGTAATTTTTTATCATGCATCATTTAACCTCTCTTGCAGAAACTTAATTCAGAATATTTTTAACATTCCAACTTAAGAGAGCATTTTAAACTCTAATTTGAGATATATAATTTCAATATAATCATTTAACTTTACCACTGGAAGAGGGAGATGCCACTCTGGTTAGTGCCCAGTATCAAGAGACATCTCCATCTTGTTATTCTTTAGCTTCCTGACTAGGATGCCAGCTCTCCTACCTGGGAAGCAGTTCTATCTATCTCATGCTCTCAAAATGCAACAATGGTTAGTGATGGAAGGAAACTGTAAAATTTAAAGGTCTGAGAAGATAGAATTTCAAGTACTATGTGGCTGGCTAAAAGACTTGTGGGAGAGATGAATGGCATCAAGAACCGAAGAATTATGAAGGTAGAGTGCCAACAGAGGCAACATGGATGCTGAAGTAGCTAAGAACAACAATGGGATGAGGAGCTGATTTTAAAATGTAAGTAAGGGAAGAAAAGGTATTATTAGATATAATAACAATTTTAATTTTAGAAAAATGTCCAAATATATTTTAGTAATACAAATTACAGAAAGCGAAGCTTAACAAATCTGAAGTATCTTAAGCAGCTAAGACCTTGCCTTTCTCTAAAAGAGATGTTATATGCCAAATATATCTCAATTAAAAAATAATAAAATAAAAATTAAACACTGTATTTCCTCCCATCAGAATTTCAGAGACAGCTAAGGAATTTTATGCTATTCAAAAGCGATCATGTATTTTTCAAAGATTGATAAAGGGTAGGGAGAAATCCTAAGATATCTAGATTTGTTTAGAAAAGATTATCTTAAAGCTAAATACAGGAGACAGCTTTGAGAAAGATAATATGAGCTTTCAAGAAAAAGTGGCTGTTGAAAGATAATGATAAAACAAAGGTCTGGGATAATCAGAGAGGAGTTAGAAGATGCCAACCTCAGTTTTTGGTTTTTTTTTTGCGGTACGCGGGCCTCTCACTGTTGTGGCCTCTCCCGTTGTGGAGCACAGGCTCCAGACGCACAGGCTCAGCGGCCATGGCTCACGGGCCCAGCCGCTCCGCGGCATGTGGGATCTTCCCGGACCGGGGCACGAACCCGTGTCCCCTGCATCGGCAGGCGGACTCTCAACCACTGCGCCACCAGGGAAGCCCCCCAACCTCAGTTTTAACACAGGCAACAATAAGAGGAGAAACAACCTCCTCTGGGAGAGAAATGGTTTTTAGCAACAGCTTCCATGCTACAGATGTGAGTATAAATTCTAGGAGTATGCAATCCCTCCCATTATTTCTACAGAACATAAAGCAAATGAAGTTTTCTGTTTATTACTTAATTGCATCTATAATCTGAGATACATATAAAATGCATCACCAAAAAGCATCAAAAGACTATTAAAATATACTCAACCAATCAGCGTTGTTCATTTGAACGACAAGACACAAAAAATGTTTTAAGTGACTATTTTCTCAATTCTCCAAGAATAGTATATAACTAGTACTTTGTCATATTTGTCATATATTTTCTTAAAAATGGATGAAGTGAGCCTGTCACCTGCAAAACCATTCACAGTATTTGTTGCCAATGATAAAATCTGAGCTTTCTCAAATTTAAATTAAAACATTAAAATTTTTTAAAACTTGTACCTAATACCATGAGCTTCACAACTTCCTAATATGTAAAGATTTTGCTGATGAGACCAGTAGCGATAATAATATGATTTTAAATATATTATATAATGAAACATGCCAACATTTGGAAGATACACATTATTCAGTGAAGCAAGAGCTCCCAAATGATCTTTTCATGATGTTACAAAATCATGCATGGGTAAATGATCCATTCAAAGTGTAGGACAGACCAATGGGTTATAACACAATAAGTACAAAAAGTTCATTTTTAAGGTTTCAGACTCCACACTGCAATTAACCCTTGATTTCTTAATTAAAACTGTCGAGTTTGGGTATAGTATCAAAGAATATGCACATTTTTTAATACGAAAAAGCTATTAATATTATCTCTCCTTTTTCCAACTACGTACCTATGTGAAGCCAGACTTCCTTCACACAATTCAACCAAAACAACATATTACAATAGACTGCAAAGCAGTAGATATAAAAATCTACCTGTCTTCTATTAAGCCAGGTTTTTCTTTTTTTTCTGCATCCTATAATACTCTTAAGTATTATATGCTTTATAATGCTTAAGAGTATAAAGAGGTCTTGGGACTTCCCTGGTGGTGCAGTGGTTAAGAATCCTCCTGCCAATGCAGGGGACACGGGTTCAAGCCCTGGTCCAGGAAGGTCCCACAGGCCGTGCCCGTGAGCCACAATTACTGAGCCCGCGTGCTGCAACTACTGAAGCCCATGCGCTTAGAGCCCGTGCTCCGCAACAAGAGAAGCCACTGCAATAAGAAGCCTGTGCACCGCAACGAAGAGCAGCAGCCCCGCTCGCCGCAACTAGAGAAAGCCCGCGCAGCAACGAAGACCCAACACAGCCAAAAATAAATAAATAAATTTATAAGTGCATCCATTCTTTAAAAAAAAAAAAAAGAGTATAATGAGGTCTTGAGAATCACCTCCTTAGGACTCTGGGGCTTAATTCAAAATCTGGGAGCCTAGTAGAGAAAGGCTCTATGAAACTTAGCATGAAGACATCTACACACAGGCAATAGCCAGATTTAAGTTTCTACAACAGGTAACAAACCTGGATTGTAACTCCACATCCTTACTTTTTATTGAGACGTACTAAATATCACCTGAGTTACATTTGAGTACAATTCCCCTCCTCTTCCTCACTCTTTTTCCTCTCAGTCTCTCTGCTCTAAGATTATATTTGTTCACTAAATCACACTTATTTCCTACCTTCTCACTTTCCAGCAGTGGTTTGAAAAAGTCCCACCTGTTTCTTCTTAACTGGTCCAATTACATAGGCATGCAAAACACCCCCCCAACTTCCCTCACCTTTCCAAGGGAGAAATTACTCAATCTTAAAATCACTCATTCTAGTACAAATTTTGCCAGGTTTGGTCCCATAGTCAACAATAGCATATCTGAAATAAAGTCCTGTTACAAACCAGCTTTTTATAAAATGGCATTATTTGATAAGCATTCTCTCCTCTGATATTATGTTTGTCTAAAAGCATAAAGCTAAATAAATACGATTCAAACACTATATTAGGATGCAGACTTAATATACTAGGTGTTATATATTTTTTTAAGTGGCACAAACACAAAAGACCATTCTAAAGAAATGTCTCATTTTTCAGCACAACTTATAATCATTGGGAGTTACCTTAGTTAAATACTTACTCATGGTATAACTAAAAGGAAAGAAGCATTAAGTCACTTTAACCTAGAACATCAGATATGTGCCCACAGTATTTTAAAAGGCTTTACCTATTCAATAATAATTAAAAGTTTTTAAATATTCCGATTTTAGCCCATTTATAGATAACTAAGTGCAAAACATTGTAAATTGCAAGTAAAATTTGAGTTTCTTCCAATCAGATATATTTGTTAACAATTATATGTGCCTCTCCCACTTTTCTGTCCTAAAATCTTCAATGAAGTGTCTTCAACTACTTCCCATGACTAGATTTATTATATTGGAAAAATAGCTTAACCCCTCTGATCCTCAATTTCTCATCTGTAAGATCAGGGGTTTGGGTTAGAAAACTACAAGACCCCTTCTAAATCTAAAATTCTGAGCCTATTAAAAATGACTGGAATTCCAAAATGATGTCCATTAGACTACTGGAGAAGGGAGAGAAGGAAGACTTAACACGCATTTATATTTAAATCTAAAACTTCTTTTAACCAAGTTAACTTGGCTAGTTATCCACGACTTTGAGGGGTGTAACTTGAGTAAGTTCACGTGAAAACACGAATTCAACTTACTCAATCCAGTGATTACATGCAGATTTAACTATGACTTTTCCCTTCCCACCAGAACGGGAAAACACTTAGGGCTGAATGAAGTAGGTACAATTGGTCTAATCTGATAACTGAAGTCTATTTGTAATCAAGGCCCAAGGTGTTAGCTATACCTGGCACTTTTCTCCTTATCCCCTTTAACCCAAGGCCGAACTACGGGTGACGAAGTCACCTCGGTTCAAAGTCTAGGGCTCTTCAGCTCAGGCAGGGAATGAACCAAGAAGTCAAAGTACCTAGAAGCGGTGATGGTGGGGTGGGGAAGGCAGATCGGCCGGGAGCGGAGGGTGGGGTGCTGGGGGAGATGCCCAAACTGCTGTTTTTCACCCGACTCCCATCTTTCGCACCTGATACAGGTCAGGTGGGTGAGGGGGCCAGGTTCCCAGGCCCAGAGAGAACTAAGCAGAGGGTGGTGGGTGAGAGAGTGACAAGTTCAGGGTTCCAGGCAGCCCCGCCGGGCCGGCTCGCAGCCCCGGCGCACGCCGCCTGCCCCGGGGCACCAAGACGGCAGAGCAGGCACCACCCTTGAGACCCCTGCCCGCGGACCCGCCGCCGCACAGCCGCCCCTCCCCCGCTTCCCACTGAGCGCCCGCGGACCCCCAAGGGAGCCGAGAGGAGGCAGCCCTGAAGTGGATCCTTACCACAGTGCCACCACGTACGAGATCCGCGCCTGTCGCAGCCTCGGCCTTACAAAATCCGCCCTCTCCGCCGAGCCAGAGAAGCCGTGGCACCGCAATCAGGGACGGCGCCGCCCCGCCCCCGGCCTCGGCGCAGAACTCTGCGGGACTAACATGGCTGGTGCCGCTTCTGCCACGTCAAAGGGGGAGGCGGGGCGGGGCGTGAAGGGGCGTGAGGGGGAGGGGACGGTTCTGGGGGCGGGGCGACCGGGCCAGGGAACTGAAGGGGAGGGTGCGGGACCAGGGCGGGGCGTGGGGAGGGGATAGGGAGAGGAAAAGGGAGGGGAAGAGGAGGGGACCAGAGCTAGAGGGGCGGGGTGACAATGCCAAACCTAACAGGGGTACTCAGGAGGGGCGGGGAGGGGAACGGGACCTGGTGGAACTGGAGCGCGAGGGTGGGGTGCGCCGTGGCCCTCCGGTCCCCTCTACCCGGAGCCATGGCGGCTCCCACTCCCCGCAGGTCTCATGATGTGTGACCTTCTGTCGCCAGACTCCTCAGCTTGCTGAGAGAAATGGAGGTGTCCTCTAGGAGAGTGGTCCCCAAACTTTCTGGCACCAGGGACCGGTTTTGTGGAAGATAATTTTTCGGCGGTGGAGGGGGAATGGTTCAGGCAGTAATGTGAGCGATGGGGAGCGGCAGATTAAGCGTCCATTACTCCGCGCTGCTCACCTCCTGCTGTGCAGCTGGGTTCCTAACGGGCCGCAGACAGGTGAGGGTGGGGGCTTGGGGACCCCTGCTCTAGGACATCCTCTCCTCTAGGGCCCGGGTTGATTCCAAGAAACACAGGCTGCATCGCCGCTGAAAAAGCAAAGTGAGAAGTTCGTTCTTTCACTTAGTGCAACAAACATTTACTGAACGTCTATCTACTTTGTGCCAGGCACAGTAGCGATGCTGTGATATGATGTAGGCAAAACAGCCAAATGTCTGGTCTGGAAGAATTTATATACTATTTATTCCTGTATTATTCCTGTATTCCTAGTCAGTTTACCTCTTTCCTCCTACACTGCCTCTGCCACCTCTCCCCCTATACACACACACACACACACACACACACACACACACTACAATCTTTGGCTGATTAATCTTGATGTGTTTTCTGCTTTTCTTTCCAAGAAAAGAACTGAGCAAAATGGGACAGACAGAAACTGGTTGGAAAGGCATTCGAGCTTGGTGGTCTCAGGCAACCCCACCCTTCAGTGAGGGGTTGCTCACGGAATTATTTCCAGATAGGTCAACACCTAAAATCCTGCAAAGCTTAGCCCTATAAGCATTTTATGGAATAGAGAAAAAGATCAATTTTTTGTCCTTTCAAGCTTATATTCACAAGAAATAAGATATGCAGCAAACATATATTTTACTTCCTCTAAGATTGTTTTGTAAGGTAAAAGAGTATTAGTTTGCTTATCAAATTTTAATACAATCCTGAAGAGGAAATGGGAATCAGAAGCCAAAATTCTGTAAAGGCCTGCAAATAAAGTGGGCTCACGATACTACCTTAACAAGGATTCTTGGCTGAAAGTACAGCAAGTAAATAGCTGTAGACAATGATGTAAAGGTGGAATAAGGACATTCGCAAAAAGAAACAAGATCTAGGAATGAGTAGGGTAAATAGACATAGGAATTCAGTGAGGAATACACCAAAGTATAGCACCTTCGGTAATTTCATTATTTTATGGCCCCCAGAAAGGGATCTTTGCCATCCAGCTCAATGAAGTCTAAGAAGTCATAATGCCTATGTATTCAGCTGAACAAAAGGCTTTTGTTTCCTATTACAATGAAATAAATGTTATGATGGGTAACAAATTCATTCATATCTGTCTTTATGTGCTTAAAGGTGAATGAGTTTAAGAATTTAACCTTTGTACATATCATCAGGATCCATTAGACCCAAACTTTGGTTTTCTGAGATTTCCTCTTTTGGGAGTACTATTTGTAAGGATTCATTTTTTTCATGACTTTTATTCTTTCTTAAAGGTCTTCCAAAAAACAAAGAGAAAACTTATTTTTTTAAAAAATAGGATAAAACTTTCTCTATTTGCAGTGGTCATATGGGTCATTTGGACTCTTGTAAATCTAGGATACATCATGGAATCTTACTGATCTTATTTTTCCTATGTCCTGCAACATTCTCCTACTTCATCATCCATGGAACTATTTCATCATTACTCATTAATTGTTCCAAATCATGCTTCAAAATATACTAAAATAATAAGAAAATGGAAAATGATAGAATTACCTAAGATGATAGAATAGTGAAGTAAGTCATCACTATTGCATTATCCTTCAGTTTTCTTTTTGCAATGCTCAAAGTACTGCATCATCTTTCTAGATCTTTGTACTATGCTTTAGCTCTTATTGAATATAGTTGAGAATTCAGAATTCAGAAGATTAATGCTGAGATAGAGAACAGCACTCTAGACCCTAATAACCTTAAACTAGGAATCTTTAGATGACCACCACCTAACTGAATTTTTCAAACTCAAGAATTAATTAGTAAAAAATATATTTCTAAGGACAAAAAGAAAACGTGGTATTATCTACTTACTCATTCAAAAGGAATAACTCCATTCCACAAGATTTTGCAGCAAACATCTGGATAATCTCATTTTGTTAAGAGTACATATGATAGTATTCTTTCACCTTTTATGATGTTTATATGGATACATTTACTCGGCATGTGGGATCTTCCCGGACCGGGGCACGAACCCGTGTCCCCTGCATCGGCAGGCGGACTCTCAACCACTGCGCCACCAGGGAAGCCCCCCAACCTCAGTTTTAACACAGGCAACAATAAGAGGAGAAACAACCTCCTCTGGGAGAGAAATGGTTTTTAGCAACAGCTTCCATGCTACAGATGTGAGTATAAATTCTAGGAGTATGCAATCCCTCCCATTATTTCTACAGAACATAAAGCAAATGAAGTTTTCTGTTTATTACTTAATTGCATCTATAATCTGAGATACATATAAAATGCATCACCAAAAAGCATCAAAAGACTATTAAAATATACTCAACCAATCAGCGTTGTTCATTTGAACGACAAGACACAAAAAATGTTTTAAGTGACTATTTTCTCAATTCTCCAAGAATAGTATATAACTAGTACTTTGTCATATTTGTCATATATTTTCTTAAAAATGGATGAAGTGAGCCTGTCACCTGCAAAACCATTCACAGTATTTGTTGCCAATGATAAAATCTGAGCTTTCTCAAATTTAAATTAAAACATTAAAATTTTTTAAAACTTGTACCTAATACCATGAGCTTCACAACTTCCTAATATGTAAAGATTTTGCTGATGAGACCAGTAGCGATAATAATATGATTTTAAATATATTATATAATGAAACATGCCAACATTTGGAAGATACACATTATTCAGTGAAGCAAGAGCTCCCAAATGATCTTTTCATGATGTTACAAAATCATGCATGGGTAAATGATCCATTCAAAGTGTAGGACAGACCAATGGGTTATAACACAATAAGTACAAAAAGTTCATTTTTAAGGTTTCAGACTCCACACTGCAATTAACCCTTGATTTCTTAATTAAAACTGTCGAGTTTGGGTATAGTATCAAAGAATATGCACATTTTTTAATACGAAAAAGCTATTAATATTATCTCTCCTTTTTCCAACTACGTACCTATGTGAAGCCAGACTTCCTTCACACAATTCAACCAAAACAACATATTACAATAGACTGCAAAGCAGTAGATATAAAAATCTACCTGTCTTCTATTAAGCCAGGTTTTTCTTTTTTTTCTGCATCCTATAATACTCTTAAGTATTATATGCTTTATAATGCTTAAGAGTATAAAGAGGTCTTGGGACTTCCCTGGTGGTGCAGTGGTTAAGAATCCTCCTGCCAATGCAGGGGACACGGGTTCAAGCCCTGGTCCAGGAAGGTCCCACAGGCCGTGCCCGTGAGCCACAATTACTGAGCCCGCGTGCTGCAACTACTGAAGCCCATGCGCTTAGAGCCCGTGCTCCGCAACAAGAGAAGCCACTGCAATAAGAAGCCTGTGCACCGCAACGAAGAGCAGCAGCCCCGCTCGCCGCAACTAGAGAAAGCCCGCGCAGCAACGAAGACCCAACACAGCCAAAAATAAATAAATAAATTTATAAGTGCATCCATTCTTTAAAAAAAAAAAAAAGAGTATAATGAGGTCTTGAGAATCACCTCCTTAGGACTCTGGGGCTTAATTCAAAATCTGGGAGCCTAGTAGAGAAAGGCTCTATGAAACTTAGCATGAAGACATCTACACACAGGCAATAGCCAGATTTAAGTTTCTACAACAGGTAACAAACCTGGATTGTAACTCCACATCCTTACTTTTTATTGAGACGTACTAAATATCACCTGAGTTACATTTGAGTACAATTCCCCTCCTCTTCCTCACTCTTTTTCCTCTCAGTCTCTCTGCTCTAAGATTATATTTGTTCACTAAATCACACTTATTTCCTACCTTCTCACTTTCCAGCAGTGGTTTGAAAAAGTCCCACCTGTTTCTTCTTAACTGGTCCAATTACATAGGCATGCAAAACACCCCCCCAACTTCCCTCACCTTTCCAAGGGAGAAATTACTCAATCTTAAAATCACTCATTCTAGTACAAATTTTGCCAGGTTTGGTCCCATAGTCAACAATAGCATATCTGAAATAAAGTCCTGTTACAAACCAGCTTTTTATAAAATGGCATTATTTGATAAGCATTCTCTCCTCTGATATTATGTTTGTCTAAAAGCATAAAGCTAAATAAATACGATTCAAACACTATATTAGGATGCAGACTTAATATACTAGGTGTTATATATTTTTTTAAGTGGCACAAACACAAAAGACCATTCTAAAGAAATGTCTCATTTTTCAGCACAACTTATAATCATTGGGAGTTACCTTAGTTAAATACTTACTCATGGTATAACTAAAAGGAAAGAAGCATTAAGTCACTTTAACCTAGAACATCAGATATGTGCCCACAGTATTTTAAAAGGCTTTACCTATTCAATAATAATTAAAAGTTTTTAAATATTCCGATTTTAGCCCATTTATAGATAACTAAGTGCAAAACATTGTAAATTGCAAGTAAAATTTGAGTTTCTTCCAATCAGA